GTTGAATTATAGAGCCATCTTGTGGTCATAAGGCACTATGACACACTCATCAACATCATAATTTATTAGTTTTTCAATCCATGTTCCAAATATTTATAATGCAGTGTGTGTGTGTTTGTGTATGTATATATAAATTAAATAAGTATGACATAACAGTTACAGATTATAGCAAAATAAAAAGCTATTGAATTAATTCCTAAATGCCTGTTTGAATATGCAATGATAATTTGAGTTATATGTGAAAACTGAAAGAAAAAAATATCATTGTCTAATGTTCATTAAAATCATAACTAGAGCGTGAATCAAGGATGAAAATATGATTCAGTAACAATGTAATAGTAATATTCTTCATGTCCTGCTATCAGAACATTTAGTTATTTGTTATTATATTTCTCCATTTTGGAGAGAAATTCCATGTGCTCCATAGACCTGAATTTAAATTAAAGCTGAATGGAGGGTGATGATGTTCTTAACCCTGATTCCCATCTTCTTTTTTGTGGTATGATAATTGTGATTCTATCATTTGTCAATATTGCTTAACATGGAGAATACTTTTCTTTCCCGCAAAAGTGATTACATCAAATAAGTTGAGTTGTTGTTTGGTAGTGACATTTATCCCTTTCAGGACACAGCGGACAATCTATGAGCTTATACAGATTTCATTCCTAAAAGTGGGGTCCTTGACTTGTGGAAAAGTCTGCTAGCTTGCCCGTTTAGTCAGCTAAGGAGGGAATAAAAATTGTATTCAAAGCATTTGCTGAATAAACCTGCACAGGGTGAATTGTGCAAGACAGGTAGGCCTGTGAGTCATGCTTTGGCCAGGTCCACTAAAATCAGGGACATTTAAGTCACATTTATGTTCTAATGATCTTAATATTCCTGGCCTAAGAATGTTGAAGGAAACTTAATTCATGATCAGGTACTCAAACCTAATTTTGAAACTTTCCCTATTGATGGGTCAGTGCTGTCCTCTAAGGCAGAGTTCCCCAAAATTTTTGGCTTTGCAGACTGGTGGGGAGAGGGGATGGATCTGTGTGAGTGTCAGGCAAGTATGTGTGCACAGTTCCATTTGCGTGAGTGGCAGGCATGTGTGCCTATCGCTCATGCAAATGCAATGGATGCACCTGCTTGCACATGGCTCACACGAGTGGGGATGGGCACATGCATGTTTGCCCACCATTTCCACAGCCCAGTTCCAAAAGGCTTAAGGTCCAGTAGTGGGCTGCAGCCCGGGGTTGGGGACTCCTGCTCTCAGGCTATGCAAGGACAATGCAGTAGGAGACACACATTCTCAAAAAGATGTCTTACATTTAAAACAAATGCAACATACATGTTTTCCCGAAAGTAAAACCTACCCCGAAAATAAACCCTAGCTTAATTTTGAAGTGGTGGGCCTAATATAAGCCCTACCCCAAAAATAAGCCCTAGTTTTGGGGTGAGGCACAGACCTAAAAATCAAGCTAGGGTGGGGGTGTGGATCGGTCCCACGTGGCCTGCATCCACTTATCTTGCAGCCAGGCCTCTCCTCACTGGTCCACTTCTTCTAGGCGTCTTCTGCAGCCAGGCCTGCATTTCTCAGTCACAGGCCTTTCTGGAAGGCCTGTACAGCCAAGAATCGAGCTATAAATTCAATCCATAGTTTGATTCTGCAAGACTTCTGCAGCCAAGGAGTGAGCTATGGATTGAATCCATAGCTCAATACTTGGCTGCACAGCCTTCTGGAAAGGCCTGATTGCAAAATGCAGGCCTGAATGCAGCTGCAGAATGAAAATGCTCCTTCAGCCCCAGAAGAAGTGGACCAGTTGGGTGGGGCTTTCAGTGCCGGAGGTAAGACATCCCCCCAAAATAAGACCTGGTGTCTCTTTTGGAGGCAAAAAAAGAGAGAAAGAAATAAGACCCGGTCTTATTTTCGGGGAAACACAGTATATGTCAAGTGCACTTACAATTCCCTTTCCTTTCCAACTCTGGATGGTTTCATGGCTTTATTATCCACTCATCTTTGAGTTGGCAGAACATTACATTGGTCTAAAATTTGTTATTGTTACTGCTGCTCTCTCTCTCCTGCCTTCACTGCAGCTGTTCCTAGTCATTTCCAGCCCCTTGACTTCATCCCAAGATAATAGATCAGAAAGCCAAATAGATTTTATACATCTTGAGCCTGCCCTTGGATGGTGATGGAATAAGAGGGAAAATACCATTTAAAAACTGGACTTTTGGACTCCTAGAAACCATTATAGTTTTCCAAAATGATCTATCTCTAACTTGGTCTTTCAGGTCTTCTAACATTGCCATAGTAAATGAATCAATCCACCTTGCTGCTGATTGTCTTCTTCTCTTTTCTTCTACCTTTCCAGCTTTAGAATCTTTTTCTAGAGATCTATGTGAATTTAAGATTGCCTCAGTAATGGGTTGGAGAGAGGCATAATAAAGCATGACAACAGCCATAAACAGAGCAATATAATAGCAACATTTTGAACATAAATTAGTTTTCAGGTTTAGAAAAAAATGAATCTGTTCAACAGACTTTCATCAGTTAAGCATAAAAAAAAATTAAACATATAGTCTGCAGAGTAATTGGTGCATGAAACTTTTTTCTGAAACGAAATCTGCTCTCTTGACCAATGATGTTTAGTCAAGATATGGGAACTATACACTTTCTAAAAAAAGTAAATGTTTTGATTTGAGAAATTAAACACAGTTTTAATTGTGGAGATCGTAATGCTCTTTGACCTTGGTGGTTTGTTTGCAGATGTTTCATTACTCAACTAAGTAACTTCCTTAGTGCAAGTGTGTATGAGTTTGCTTCCTGCTTACATACAGTGGCAAATTAGAAATGCAAATCTATTGAAAAAACAACCCGCAGTAGCCAAGTTCTCCATTACCAAAGTAACAACTTAGCCTCCCATAAGAGAGCTATGTAAGAACATTATTAAGATGAATACAAACACATTGCAGCCACCCAGAACACCAAAAAAAGAAAACTCATTGCCTATACATCTTTCAGCTAAACAGATGTCCAACCTAAGTGCCTGACCATTGAAATATCTACAGCATAGCCAACCCAAGCTAGGAAAAGGATAATATTACCATACATCAAAAACATCTCAGAAATTATGAACACACATCATTACTGTAGCATACAAACATTGTGAAGCCCTCCAAAAGCCCAGTGTTGCTCCAAACATAGGGATGGATGGTATATAAATGTAATAATGAGAGACCAAACCGCCCTGCAAAAAAGACCAAGAAGAACAGAAAAGAGACATGGCAAGACAAATATTAAATGGCCAGTACATAAAAAAGTAGGAGCCAAAGCAGATAGTAACAAGACATCATTAAGAGCAGGATTGAAGGAAGAAACAGGGATTAACTCTGGCTGCACAAGACCAAACTTTAAGAAGAAATGCATACAAAGCCAGAATTGAGAAGACAGAAAAGACAGCAAATGCCACCTTTGCAAAGTATCTGAAGAAACAGTGGACTGTGAGCTGCTGCAAAAAGAGTGTCCGTAATACTGTAGTACTGACTACAAGCAACAGTATGACAAAGTAGCAACATGGAAGTTCTGCAAGAAGTACAGTTCGATACAAACAAGAACTGGTAGGATTATAAAATAGACAAAATAATAAAAAATGAAGAAGCTAATGGGAATTTAGAATCAAACACACAAGCACCTGCGACATAACACTACAGACTTAACAATTGTTGGTAAGAAAGACAAAAAAGGCTGAATATTGAACATAGCAATACCCAGAGACAGCAGAATACCAAAGAAAGAACTGGAGATGATAACAACATATGAAGACCTGCAAACAGAAATAGAATGATTGTGGCAAGAGAAACTAAGTTAGTACCAATAATAATAATGCAATCACTTTGGTGCAATCACAAAACTTTTGGAGCATCTCATGAACCCCATTGACACTGACAAAATTACCAACAATTGCAAAAAGCAGATTTCCTTGGAACAGCTTGCATACTGCAAAAATATTTTTAATACCAACAAAGAACATCTGCCTATTCCAAGTCCTTGGGAAGGACTTGATAGGTAGATAAAAAGTGCCAAATTCAGTCTAAAGATCTGGCTGACTGTGCAATAAGCCATAACAAAATAAGCAAACCAAAAGATTCAAGAAGAAGTTCAAGAAGAAAAAACAAGAATTATCTACAATATACTGGGTAAGGACTGTAACAATCACTATGTAGGACCAACAGGCAGAAGGCTAGCAGATCACATGAACACCAACTAACAGTCAGAAGACATGATGAAAACTCCTTAATCTCACAACTATAGACAAACTCAACCATAGTTTCAACTGCAAAAATGCAAGAATTCTAGATCAACTTAAATCCAAAAATGCTAGGGAATTTCTAGAAGTTTGACATTCAGATAAGTCAGCTATCAATTGACACATAGAAATAAACCATAGTTACACACAGTTCAAAAATGGCAATTAAAAAATTAAGAGGTAAACACAAAGACCAGAATACTTCCTCTCTAGCAGCCAATACCCAGATAAGCAGGGATTAACACCAGGGAAATAACCAAGCAGAAAACAAAAATAAGATCAAGGAACTAGCAAGGAAAAAACAATCCCCACCAAGCCAAGCTACTGTATATAAAGAGGAAGCAAAACTCACATTCATTAATACAAGTGTGAGTCCTTGACTTACAACCACAACTGAGCCCAAAATGTCTCTTGCTAAGCAAGACAGTTAAGTGAATTTTATGACCTTTCTTGCCACAGTTGTTAAGTGAATCACTGCAGCTGTCAAGTTAGCAACATGGATATTAAATTAAACTGGCTTCCCCATTAACTTTGATTGTCAGAAGGTTGCAAAGGTGATATTATGACCCTGGGATACAGCAACCGTCATAAATATGTGTCACTAAGCATCTGAATTTTGATCACATGACTATGCAATGATTGTAAGTGTGAAAAGTGGTCATAGGTTACTTTTTTCAGTGCTGTTATAACTTTGAATGGTCACTAAACAAATTGTTGTAAGTTGAGGACTACCTGAACTGATGAAGTTACCGAGTAGGGTAATGAAACATCTGCAAGCAAATAATCAAGGACTCCACAGTTCAACTCTGAGATACATTATATTCTCTTCTATTGGAGTTTGTGTCTTTCGTTCTCAGTTTTACGTAAATCCATTTATTTGTATATGCAGCTAGTGGGAATGAATTCCCTAATGGAATCTTTGCATTTGTGTCTAATTTATTATCGATTCTTTCCATTCATATACAGTAATGTGGATTTCTCATTTTAGACCACTGCCTGGAAAAACAGGTAACTCTTGCGAGCATCTTCAATCTAGCAAAAATGTAGGCGTAAGATGGAAAGAAACATAGTTGAGACTATCAGTCAATATCATAATATTAATATCATACATATTAATCATACCTTCATAGGTTGTATATTGAATGAAGATTCATTGTTCCCATGCAAAGGCTCACTAGTTGTTATTTGCCATACGGTATGTTTGATTTCATGATGTGCCAATTACAAAAGGTAATCTGGGTTTGTAAATGTGCTAAATGTCATATACTTTAGCACAAAAACAAGATTAAGCGGTCCAAATGGGAATGTGAGTCACTGCCCGTGAATGCTTGCCATTTATTGTAAAAGCCATAGAGTATGCATGTCATTTTTTAGGCTGGGTCATTATAGATTTTCAGGCTGATTTCAGATTTTCTAATTCATCACAGGATGAATAAATTTCATTATAGACTTGGATGGAGGAATACTTGACTGGTGGAGGAGGTGGCTTGAAAGACGGAGGTTTATTCATACTACAATGAAAATAATCCTGTTTAAAATGTGCGGCAAATGAACATACACAATAAGCAATCAGAATAGTTAGATAGAAGTAAAAAGTAAAACATAATTAGGCATAAAAATACGTCCATCCTGCCATTAATTTACATTGAAGCAGGGACCTAATATATCTTCTCAATGAAAAGTGAACTATTAAAATCAGTAATACTGCTAAGATTTTTGTATTTCTTTTTGTTCCTTTGAGTAATACCAAATCAATGTATTAATAAAGCCACCAGCTTGATTTGTGATAATGAAATCTCAAGGTAAACCGAGAATAAAGTCTTACAGTAATAATATGTTCAGTTGCCCTGACATATATTTTTTTAAAATATTATAGATATGCCATTCTTTAAACATGAGAATGTAGCTTAATAGGAATTATATTTCAATAATGTTTACTCTCATGCTGATAATTAATATTATATGGATCTTATTGTGTGTTTTTTATTTATTTAAATGACTATAAGGTATGTAGATTTTTTTAGTGGGCAATTACTGCCATATTTTGTTGTCATAGTAACTGTTATATCTTATTAATAACTTTTCTAAAAATACAAAAAACCTGTTGATTTACTTCATTCCAATTAAAAAGAAATCTTTTTGCAATTAATCTCACTGCTTTGTACAGGAGCAAATTCACAACGATACACAAAATTAATTAAAGTAGTGATACAGTGTACTTACATTTCTCTTTGATGCTGACACCATTTTCTGATCCCACAAATGATTAAGCATGTGCAGAAGAAAAGCAGAAATGCCACAACTATTGACCATGGAAATGTACTGTGTTTTGGAACCATTGTAGAACCTGGAAAGGGTACAGTGCCAAAATTATTATTATAACAAAAACCATAAGCAAGCTTTGAACAGTTATTCTTTCTACATTTCTAAATTATGAGTGTTTTTTTATTTGTTTTTGACTATCACATCCAAACAAATTATCCAAAGCAGTTTACTATAGAGCAGTGTTTCCCAATCTTGACAATTTTAAGGCATGTGGACTTCAACTCCCAGTGTTCTACTCCCCAGTGCTCCTACTGTTTACTGGCTTTTGTTTGGCCAGCAATGTTATGTAATCCTCTAAGTATTTAGGAGATTTCCTTGCTCTCTGTGACCTTCTCAGCTCTGGGTTTCTGACAGGTGTTCCCTGACTGAGGGGAGACGTGAGCCTGTTCTCCTTATCATGCCTTGGTGCCTTCCGAGGACTGTGCCCCGATGCCTGGCCTGCTTGCTCGCCCACCGGGCTCGTCAGGCCAGGGCTTCTGTCACTTTGTGACCTGGTTGACCTGCCTAGCTGTAGGCCCTCGGGCCCCTTGAAGTGATAGCCACTGCTGGGCATCTCTATAGAACCTCCTAGGTCCGTCCAAGACCTGTCAGGAGGCTGTCCAATCCCTAAGCCCCGTTCTGTGTCCGGGCTCGTGTGGGTCTCTGTACCTTCCCAAAACTCAGTTACTCCCTGATGTGGGCTAGAGGTGTTGCGGTCGGGACTTGGTTCCTCGACCACCTCCCTGTAAGTTTGACCCCCTGTAGGACTTGGGGTAAGGTCAGGCCAACTCTGGGGATTATGTGCCAGCTCTCTTGCGGGGTATGATTTATTGGGATGCTCCCGGGTATCCTCCCTGACTGGAGTACTGTGCTGTGCAGGTGAATAGTGATTGTACCCCCGGGGTGACTCCCTGGCTGGAGTAGGCGTGAATGCCTGGTAGTTGGATAGGCTCTTAGAATTCCTGTTTGGGGCACTCGCGGAATCTTGGAATGGGCCGTTTGTGGCTCCATGATTGGAGGTGGGCAGCAGCTCGTGCCCCTCCCTTTGCTCTAAAGGGTCCCCCTCCCCCCCTGGAAAAGACCCAGGAGTCTCATCTGAAAGGTCCCGCCTAGGGCGGAGTTGGTCGATGTGCCGACGCAGGACATGACCGTTGTCCAGGGCTACCTCGTAGGAGAGAGGACCTGTGACCCTGGAAATAGAAGCGGGGACCCATGTATGACCAGGCTCGTAATTGCGAGTCCAAACCGGGGCACCCACAAGTAGTTGTCTAGGTGCCCTAGGATGTGAGGTAGATGAAGGCAGTCTGTCCGGATGCAACCGGTCAAGCTTCGTAGTAAGTTTGCGCCCCCAGCGAAGTTCAGCTAGGCTTCTCCCTGTAGAAGTGGACGGTGTGGTGCAGTAAGAAAGGAGAAAGTCAGCCAACCTGTGATGCCAGTCCCCATAGGTGAGTCTTTTCAAGGAGTCCTTTGTGATGCGGACCATGCGTTCAGCCATACCGTTGGTGGACGGGTGGAAGGGTGCAGACGTGGCATGACGAATCATGTTAGCCTGTAAGAAAGCTTGGAATTCGGAGGAAGTAAATTGAGGGCCGTTGTCAGAGACGATGACATCTGGGAGCCCGTGTGCAGCAAAAATCCCCCTCAGTACCTGAATAGTCTTTGCAGTGGTGGTGGATGAGACAGGTACAACCTCAAGCCATTTTGAATGACTGTCAACGAGGACCAAGAAGAACTGGCCCTGAAAGGGCCCAGCGTAGTCAATGTGCACCCTAGACCATGGGGACTGTGTATCCTCCCATCTATGCACAGGAGCTTGGGGCATCTCTGGGCGAGAGCGCTGGCACAGGTGGCATGCATGCACCTTAGCCTCAATGTCCTTATCTAAACCAGGCCACCACAAGTGGCTGCGCGCAAGGGCCTTCATGCGAACAATGCCAGGATGACCCTCGTGGAGGGACTCTAAGATCCTAGTCCTCATTGAGGTGGGAATGACAACTCTGTTTCCCCAAAGCAGACAACCCTGAGAAGTGGACAACTCGTTCCTTTTGGACCAGAAACTCTGAAACTCAGGACTAGGGCAGTGCTCAGGCCATCCAGACAAAACCCAAGAAAGGACACGTGAAAGTGTGTGATCTGTGCCTGTTTCAGCGGCGACATCCCTGGCATTCAGAGGGGACTCGGGCAAGGCTTGTATGGATAGAATGTTGACAGCTGGCGCAGGGTCAGCTTCTACTACTGGCAGGGGCAATCTACTGAGGCCATCAGCATGGCCCATTTCTTTCCCAGGCTTGTGGAGTAAGGAAAAATCATATGCAGACAGAAAAATAGACCACCTAAGCATTCTAGGGGAAATGATTTGGGGAGTTTGTTTACGTGTGGTAAACAGTCCCAGCAGAGGCTTATGGTCAGTGAAGACCGTGAAATGCCTGCCATACAAGAAATCATGGAATTTTTTAATTCCAGCAACAACAGCCAGAGCCTCCCTGTCTATCTGAGCGTAGTTGCGCTCAGCAGAAGACAGTGTTCTGGAGTAATATGCAACAGGAACCTGAGTTCCATCAGACCTGAGGTGGCTCAGGACGGCTCCTACCCCGTAAGGGGAAGCATCACAAGCGATGCACACAGGAAGGGACTCATTGAAGTGTGCAAGTACACTGTTAGAAGTGAGTAAGGCCTTGACCTCATTGAAACTAGCCTCATGTGTTTGTGACCACTGCCACACTGCTTGTTTGTCTAATAGCCTGTGAAGAGGCTCAGCTACACTAGCTTTATGTGGAAGAAAGGAATTGTAGAAATTCAGGAGGCCCAGAAAGGCCTGAAGTTCGGCCTTAGACTTTGGCCTAGGTGCTTCTAAAATGGCAGTTAGTTTGGATTCAGCAGGGTGAATCCCAGCAGCATCAATTTTGAATCCCAGAAATTCAGTAGAAGGCACCCCAATTTTGCATTTGTCTCTTTTGAGCTTGAGGCCTGTTTTCCTGAATCTTAACAGAACAGCCCTTAGCCTTTCAGCTAGAATGTGTGTGGAGTCTCCTGCAATTAAGACATCATCAAAGTAGGGGCAAACCCCCGGTATGCCCCGTAGTGTGTTTTCCATTACGCTTTGGAAAATCCCAGGAGCGACATTCACTCCAAACTGTAGCCTTTTTACCTTAAAGGCTCCCCTGTGGGTCACAATAGTCTGAGCTATAGCAGCATCATCATCAACAGGCAGCTGTTGATACGCTTGAGCTAGGTCAAGCTTTGCAAAAACGCGCCCCCCCTTGAGGGAGGCCAGAATATGACTGACCACAGGAACAGGATAGGCATGTTGCTGCAATGCCTTATTAAGAGTGCATTTGTAGTCAGCACAAATGCGAATGTCCCCATTTGCCTTTAGAGGCGTGACAATGGGGGTCTCCCAAGGGCTGGAATCAACAGGTTCTAGGATTCCCTGTTGGATCAGTTTGTCTAACTCAGTGTCAATTTTACTCTTTAAAGCAAAAGGGACCCTTCTTGCTTTAATTCTAATGGGTGTGACAGTGGGGTCTAGTTTTAAGGACACAGGAGGTCCCTTGAATGTGCCCAGCTGGGGGCTGAAGACATCTGCAAATTCTTTGCAGACTTCCTGTAGGTCGAGTGTTTGTAAGCTGTTGAGCCCCGTGACGTGTATCCCCAAGGCTTCAAACCAATCGAGTCCTATGAGACTCGTTCGTTCACCCCCTACTACTAATATGTCTAGTGGACCTTCAAAACTCTTGTATTGCACGTTAAGGGTGGCCTCCCCCTTAACACACACTCTTGAATTTTGAAACTCTGTTAACACAATGTCAGAAGGCCTTAATTTAGCCTGAGTTCCACTGCCGGAACAAATCTTCCTAAATGTATGTAAGGATATGATTGAAAGGGCAGACCCCGTGTCTAGTTCCATAGTTAATGGAACCCCTTGTAGCTTCACCTTGAGTGACAGCTTTTTCTTGATGGGCTTGTGTGTGCCTGTCCTGAAGATGCTTCTTCACGAAGCGCAAAAACCTACCCTATTCTGGCTGGGGACCCTGGTACCTTTCAGGCGCAGTTCTTCCTGAGATTGTACCTTTCGTCGGCCCAGACACACAGCTGCAATATGTCCTTGTTTCCCGCACGCCCGGCAGATAGCGGAGCGGAACTTGCAGTCGGTTCTCCTGTGGCGACCTCCACAGCCGATGCACTTGAGGGGAACTGCAGAGCTTCCTTTCTGATTCCCTTCCTTCGTGGGGTGGAGACGGTCGACTTCCTCGTCCGGATCCTCCTCGGAGTTCCCTTGGACGTCCTCTTGGTGCACGGATGCAACATCTGGACTGTTCCTGATCGGCCGCATGTTTTTGACGGCGCCGCCTGCTGCTTCTTCTGCAGTGACCTCTCTTAAGGCATCTTGGAAGGACAATTCTTCTTTGGCGAAAAGCCTCTGTTGTAGATCTCGATGCCTTAAGCCGCACACGAATCGGTCCCTCAGTCGTTCTTCGAGGTCCTTGAACTCGCAGTGCTTGGCGGCCTTCCTCAATGCGGCGATGTATTCTTTGGCCGACTCTCCGGATCGTTGATCCCTCTGCTTGAAGGTGTGGTGCCATGTGATGACGGACATCTTGGGCTGGAAGTGCTCCTTCAATAGCTTCTTTAGATCTGCGTAGCTGACAGACTCTAATGGGACAGGTGCTGCAAGGTTCTCTGCGATTTTGAAGGCGTCTTGACCGCAGACACAAAGCAGGGTGGCAGCCTTCAAGCTATCTTCCCTCACTTGGTTCACCTTGAGGTAATTTTCCACCCTGGCTACGTAGGACTCCCACCGCTCTGGATGTGAGACGTCGAACTCCGAAAGCCTTCCAACCTTTGCCATTTCAGGAGACGGGTCTATCAGCCAGCCTACCCCCGAATGCGCACTGGATTGGCGGGTAGCTGCCGAGTCAACGCCGTTCCGTCGTTCCGCCGCTCAGGACTCACTTGGGTAAGCTTACACCTCTTTCTTTCCAGGCGATGTAAGGCATCCCACCTTCGTTGCCAGTGTTGAGTCCTTGGCGAAAAGCAGACGCGAGAAGCAGTTGTAGTTCTCAGGTTTCCTTTTATTCTGTGTTCAGCTTACAAGTGAAGGCTTCAGCAACGCCCAAAAGCTCCTAGCCTCTTATATAGGCAGTTCCCGGGTCAATGTGTTACTTTTCCCGCGCCAGCACCCGCGCATACGCACAGGCGCTGGTGACAGCCTGTCTGGTCCCGGGCAGCTTGCACCTGCCTGGGACTGCCAGCAAACGCCCCGAGCCCGTTTGCAAGGCTCGGGACATAACAATTTCCATTTGCAATTTAAGCAACAATAGGACTAAAATACTGACACAAGATGAATTAGAAACAAAGAGGCACTTAGAATTTGCTCTCATTCTAAAATGAGCATAAATCTATACAGGTAATCCTTGTTTAGCAACCATAATTAAACAACTTTGTCAATAAGTGAAGCAGTCACACGTGAAATCATGACTGTGCTTATGATCTTGCTTCACCTTTCCTTGGCTTTAGAGATTTGTAAATCACATAAATGTGAGGATTGCTCACAAAGTTGCCTTTTCATCACCATTATAACTGTGAATGGTTGTTACATGACACAGTCGCTAAATAAGGACTATTTATTATTCGTGCAGCTTTTGAAATAATCTCTGGAAGTACAGCCCATCTATCTTCCCCCCTTCTTAGGGACTGAGTCAATGGCTTAGATGTGAAAACACTTTCCAAGCATGAAAGTGTCTAAGCTGTGCACTAGCCTGACATCTTGCAATGATCCTAGCAAGGATTAACACATCAGCTTCCCCGGCAACTGTAAATTCTCTCAGTAATTCTGCTCAGAATATGGGCAACCACATCTTCAGCTTTTCATTCTTTAGTGGCAGGTACAGGTAGGGTAATATATGTCAGAGCTCCTGCGAAACAAATCTTTTCAGTCTTGATTATGACTGGGAAATTGTGGGGAAATTGATTAATGTACAGCACGTCCCTTCCCTCAGCTCCTTCCCTGTAGAGCAGTCTTGCCAAAACCAGCTGCAGCAACCTTTTTGCCCTCCTCCTCCTCCTCTCATGGAGACTCCTTTACAACTGAAGCAATAACTTACCAGTATCAAGGCCGTTCTTTATAGTATATGAATTAGCAGGACTATTCACTGTGGTTACTTCAATCACTCTTCCAATGGGCAGATTTCCTTAAAAAAACAGATAAGCATATATTCTTTATGATTTTAGCCAGTTTACCAGTATTATTACAGTAATAATGATTACCATACATCTGGCTGATTGTGCAGCCAAGCATAATAGAGGATGAGCTATTAGAGTTGGTTGCACAGTCAGCCAGTGTTTAGATTGAATTTGACATTTTTATCTACCTATCGAGTCTTTCCTAACGACCTAGGAGAGGCTGTTTGTTGTTACATGTAGTGTTGCAGGATGTAAGCTGTTCCAAGTAAAGCTGCCTTTTGCAATTGAGTGATGATGATTTTGTCAATGCTGATGGTGTTTTGCTTGTTTCTGCCACAACTGTTCTACTTCAATGTGCAGATCTTTATATTTTGTGATTTTTCACCACTTTGTTCTTTTCTATTTTGCTGCCTCCACATATTGCCAATTCCACTATCCAAACTATTTTGTCTTTCTTATTGACAATCCTTTAGTCTGGGGTGTTACGTAGCAGGTGCTTGTATGTTTGAATTCTAAACTACCAGAGCATGTTATTTTTCTGTTTTATTGCAATATTCCACTACCCAATTATTTTCTTTGTTAAGTAGAATCTGTCAACATCACTGCATAGATGACCGGCATGATTTATTGTCATTATTTTTCTGATCTTCATATTTAGGTCTTTTAATTCTAACAACTGAAATTGCTCAGGTATTAATTGCCTTGATGGTATTTCCTCCACCGAATTTGGGCTTTAATATCTTCTTAATTCTCATGATATATTCTCTTGTGATCTTTCCTCTTGACTGCAATATGCTTGATGTTGTCAGCTTGAAAGATGCCCACATATTTGTAGCAATCATCTTCATTCAGATTCTTGATATTATTGCCTAAGGATCTTGATTTCTTGAGTTTTCACTATTTTTCCCCTATTATTGATAAGGGTGGGACATTTGTCAAGTTCAAACTCCATTGCAATATCCCAGGGGCCCTTTTATGACTTGTGGACTTCAACTCCCAGAATTCCTCAGCCAGGCACGCCAAGTTTGAAAACCCCTGCAATATCCTGAATGTATCTACAGACAGTGTTGAGCAGCTGATGGTGTTTTCCTATATAGCTTCAGTTCGTCCATATAAAGGAGGTATAATAGCTATAGCCTGAACTGTTCACGATTGTTGACCGAGGAATCAATGCAATGACAAACCAAATTAATTGCCCTGCTCAATTAATTTCTTTCTTGCTGGTGTTTATATCTGATATTACAACATTGGCATCTTTTAATATTTGTGCTAGCAGTTTCTTTGAATAAACCTCAATTCAGGCAATGTTACTCGGCTGTTTTTGTATTGTTCTAAATGCTCAGTTATTCTTTATTTCAATTCTTATGTTTTAGTTGAGGGGGGTGTCTTTGTTCTTTCTGTGGCAAAGTTTGAGGAGAGGATGCCTCACATCCTTGTATCCTCAGTCTCCCAGTATTTTCACTTGGAAATCTTAAGAGGCAGCTATATAGGTAAAAGTGTAAGGCAAACATTTCTTCTTCAAGTCAACCATGCCTTAGGTGATTTCATGGATAGGTTTGTGTTGTTCACTTGGTAATAATCCTTAAAGAGTTTGCAAAATTGCTTTCTTTCAGAATTTTAGGAAGAAATCGGTTCTATAGTTACTTTTCTAGAACCAATCCTATTTAGCCTTCCCAACTGAAGCAAGATGGATTAGGTGTAGCAGCATTGTGGATTTTTTGTGTCTCAATATGACATTGATCATTCATGAAATAGGTTGCATGACAGATCAGATCTAATCTGATTCTCTCTCTCTCTCTCTCTCTCTCTCTCTCTCTCTCTCTCTCTCTCTCTCTCTCTCTCCCTCCCTCCCTCCCTCTCCCTCCCTCCCTCCCTCCCTCCCCCTCCCTCCCCCCTCTCTCATTGTCTCTTCTAAATTATCTATCTTGACTTAAGGAACCCAATTTTACATATAATTACAATGTAGACAATATTTCCTAATTTATAAAGTTATGTAAAATCATGCTAATACTTTCACAGTGTCCACTTACGTTGTGGTGGCATGGAGTTTTCATGGAAGTGAGTCACAGTGGCAGCATTTTGGTGGGTTGTTATCCTGGAATTCTTCAGCCCTTTGTCAAGATAATGACATTTGATCATGACAATTTAATCACAGTGATATTGATTAGAAAGGATATTTACACCTTAGATTTTGTTTAAAGATAACCTGAAAAAAATTAAGAGAACCCCTGCTCAAGCACACATGTGAGAAGCAGAGGGGAAAAAATACTTTGTGTTGTAGTACGTTATTACATTTGGGCTGTAAAAATCCAGTGACCATTAGATGGCAGCAAAGAGACAGAACATTCTACCATACCTTTTTGTTGTGATCTAAAGGTTATCTGGATTTCACCCAGGTCTAGTAGTTGTACTTAAGAACTAGTTAACAACTGCATTGTTGTTAACTGGTGTCTGTAACTTCACATCATCAGCTGTACGTATAAAAACCATCCAGATTTATATATATCATAGACTTCATTATAGAGAAGTCCCTTAACTAACCTTATCCAATTTGATTCTCCTAAAATTAAAGAACTGTGAGCCTTCGATGGACATTAACTTTTCAGCATTTCAGCAAGATTTTTTCTTTTGTTTTAGGAAATGCCAGACACTGAACCTAAGATAATTTGCATGGTAACACATGGTATTTTCAGTAAAACCTTCAACAATGATTGTACTTTTTCAGCAGACACATAGTAGTGTAATAATTTGGAAGTATACACCTCTTTTTTTGCATGTGTGCAGATGCTAGAATAAATGAAACTTCTTAGTTTTCGTTAAAATCTTTTTTCTGTAATGAAATATGTTTTATTTTTATTCCAAACTCTCAGGTGTCTTTTGCTTTCTTGATGATTCCAGGGCTTAAAGAGGATAAGAAACGTACACAATTTACAGTATCCACATTGAGCCTTATACACCTCCCTTCCAAAGTAAAATAATTAGTTATCCTCTAAACATGGAACTTCTACCTTTTGCTCCAGGAGACAGTGGTACCAATGTAATTCCTTTACACTAACAGAAGTTGGATAGTGCGGTGGTAAGAACAGAATTCCTATCAGAAATTCAAACAAGAACCTTGAGCTACATCCAACAAGTTTAAGATTCAGAAACATATGTCAAAAGCATATATGAGTAATAAATATTGCTTTGCTTGATTCTATTTGTGTGTGTGTGTGTGTGTTATGCATGTGAGAACAAAGTGACTTGCCACAGGGAATATCTTTTCACAGCTTATAAATCAAGGAAGCCTCTTCAACCTAAACAAGCAGCAGCGCTTTAAGGAGGTTCCACATGGGAAACGATCACATTAAGAGGGTTGTAAATGTGGGCAGCAGGCATGAAATGTTAGGTCACTGCTTGTACTTTTCTCAATAAGAATTTTTCTTAGCTGCAATAAAAATCAGATTATCTAAATAAATAGAGCTGCATGCCATGGTCGGTAAAGATTTAGCACTGGGAAGAAAAAGCAGTTTTGTCTCTCGGCTTCCCTGATGTTCTGACGAACCAAGGAGTAACAACTCTCATTATTATTATTCTTGTTGTTGATGATACATATCAAGAACCAACTTTCTTTAAACTGACTTTGTTCCTTAATTACAGATTGGATAACCCAGCTGTACTGGACTCCAATATGTAATTTAGCATTAGTATTATGTTCCTCCACGCTATGTAGTGTATCAGGCAGCCCATAGGTAATTCAGGTTAAAAAACTATATTAATTTTAGAAACAAACAAGCTGCTTTGATAATGTAATGTGAGATCAGGTATAGGCACGCCATCAGTTTAACAGTGATTATTGATCCCTGTTATTTATTGCAAATGTTGCCTTTCTGCTTCAAGTAAATTGCATTCAACTAAATCCCCTTGAAGTTCTTGTTCTTGTTAATCCAATATCCTGATATTTAACAATATTGCTACGTATGTTTTATTATTGATGCTACAGAATCCATTGAATGGGAATTTTAAGTACAATATCATGGCCAGTTGGTGTAGTAATTAAGGCACTTGGCTAGAAACCAAGATATCATGACTTCTAGTCCTGCCTTAGCATGGAAACTTTGGGCCAGACATGCTTTCTTAGCCCACAATGACAGGCTTGGGTAACAGCCAGTTGGCCAGCTCCTGTTGCAATCAATGGATCAATACTTGGCTGATCCCCCCAAAAAGTGAACCCTTCATTTGCAGGAAATACTATAAAGGGAACCTGTAAAGAAATAAATCTAATACTCCATCTTATTTGAAAAGGTTTTCCTAATAAGAATAATTTTCCTATATAAAGTGGCTATTTCTACTTTTTTATGTATCTAGGATTTGAAATAAATATGGTTCTGCTTTTCCCACATTGAATACAAATAATTTAAAAAAGTGTTTATAACTTACTTTGTGGTATTGTGGACTCACTTTGAGGTACTGTGGACTCACTGAAGAATGCTGTAATAGGATCATTTTGCAGGGTTTGGGTAGATTCTGTAGAAGACATATTGTCTTTAAATTCCTTGTTCAATGTGAAGATTTAGGGCTTTGTTAGCTAGATGATGCTAGCAGAGGTAAAACTAAAATGTAGACTTCTTTTGGATAATACAAATTCCACATTATAAATGAAATTCTAAAGGAACAAATCTAACATTTCATATTTTCTAGAAAGATTTCCCTGATAGTAATAACTATTGAATAATATGAAATTATATAAAATGATATTTCTACTTCTTCATATGGCTAAGCCATAATTATTCCTTTGATTTGAAATAAGTATGGTATTACCTTCCCCATACTGAATACAAATAATTTAGAAAGTGTTATAACTTACTTTGTGGTACTGTGGAGTCATGGAGCAACACAGTAGTAGTAGTACTTTGCAGGGTTTTGGTAGAATGCAAGATTTCTGTAGAAGACAAATTGACTTTAAATTCTCTGTTTTGTGAATATTCAATGTTTTGCTGGCTACTGCCATTAGGAGAGGCAAAACTAAAATGCAGACTTCATTTTCAGTACTATAAAGAAAATACAAGAGCCAACTTCACATTATTCAGAAAGGCTGTCCTAATAACTCTCACATATAGCAATAGCAGTACCACTTAGACTTATATACCACTTTATAGTGCTTTATAGCATTCTCTAAGTGGTTTACAGAGTCAGCATATTGCCCCAACAATCTGGGTCCTCATTTTACTGACCTCAGAAGGATGGAAGGCTGAGTCAACCTCGAGGTGGGGTGGAGCGAGGATCGAACTGCCGGCAGTCAGTAGAATTAGCCCACAATACTGCATTCTAACCACTGCATCACCACAGCTCTTGGTGTGGTGAAAGTACATATGAAAATATATAAAACTAATTTTTTAAAAAATAAAATCTTTGATAGGTCAGCCACAATTATTGAAATCTATTATGTTTCTACTTTCCACGCCAAACACAAATAATTTAAGAAGTGTCCATCACTTACTTTGTGGTACTGTGGAGTCACTAAATAACTTTTCAGTAGTATCACTTTGCAAGGTTTTAATAGAATGCAAGTGTTCTGTAGAAAACAAATTGTGTTTAAATTTCTTGTTAGTATACCAGAAGATGGTATGAAATTATATAAAGCTACTTTTCTACTTCTTGATAAAGCTTGATATGGTTAATTGGATTTGAAGTCTACAGTATATGGTTCTTATCAAATCCAATCCATATATGTAACATTCTGCACATGCGGGATCAGAAAAATATGGTTAATAAATCTAAACCAATTAAAAATAATAAAACTCTATACATTTTATTTTAATATCCACCGTTAAAAATATATTTTGAATCTTACTGATGTCCTTTATCAGGAGGGTTAATTAAAATCCTTTAAAAAGGTTAATTAAGACCCCTTAAAAAATACAAATAGGAGGAGGAGGAGGTTGTTCAGAAGCTTTTTCTCCTTTATTCATTGTATTAAATCCCATTGTTATGATATGTAGTGATTATCCTACAAGAAAGTTTGAGCCAATGCAAGCAAATGTTCAGCAATACTCCAAGTGGACCTTGACAGTTTTTAATATAATTTCACATATACACAATGGCTCAATTACAACCCTGTCTTCAGCCTTGCAAGAGATTCTCCTCTCCTCCCCTCCCTTCCCCTCCCCTCCCTTCCTCCCCCTACCCATCTTACTCCATCCCACTATTAGAAATATGAGAAAAAATGAGAAAGAAGTGGTGCTTGCTAAATCTGTGACTTGTCTGGAAGGAGGGAAAAAAAGACTACAAAAACAAAACAAGTTATACTTTCTTTTGAAACCTTGAAAGATATAATAAAACTTGATGCAACCATTAATTATTGCATTTTTATTGCTGATTTATAAAAAAAATGCTGTACAGTGATACAAAATTACTTTAGAACTACTATATTTAGAAAGGTGGGAGGATTATGAAAACAACAGATATAGTTCTTTCTTTCTTTCTTTCTTTCTTTCTTTCTTTCTTTCTTTCTTTCTTTCTTTCTTTCTTTCTTTCTTTCTTTCTTTCTTCCTTCCTTCCTTCCTTCCTTCCTTCCTTCCTTTCTTTCTTTCTTTCTTTCCCTAGAAATACTGTGCTGCTAACATCGGATGTTCTTGCTTTGACAGCTGGCTACATGGTAATATAAAAATGAAAGAAGAAGCATAGTGATGACAGATGACAGATTGTTGTACCTGCCTTCTCTTATATGCAAGTCCTGGAGAAGAGGACCTATGTGAGATAAGTGTTTGTCCCACAGAGTCCAGCAATATAAGGATTGCTCCTTTCTTTATACACTTTTAAGAGCTTTCACCATAAACAGCAAAGGGTTAGATACTTTCTCTGAAGTAATAAAACTAACAATAAATGAATAAATGACCTGTAGAGGTGTTGAGACAACAAGATTCACATATGACTGAATGTTTATTGTGGATGTATGCGGGAGAAAAGTAAACATAATATTTATAATGGACTTACTTTCTGAAGAGGAATCTGATACTAGAGTTGCTTTTGAGGCTTCAGAAAGGGTAGTCTGTAACCCTGATTAAAAAAATCATGGCTTGAAATACAGTGTATGAAATAAAAGAGCTTTAACAAACTGCCATAAATGAACTCTGGAAACTCTTTAAACTGCCAAAACAATGACACACATATGACTTTACATGTACAAGTAGTAATATGTACCTATGTTTTTTATGCCAAGTAGACATGAGGCAAATATATAGATATAGTCTACACTTTTTCCTAATGAAGATATCACAACTTTTGCTTTCTATTTTGTTAATAAAATAAAGTAACTTATAACACTTGTAACAGTTGGAATACTTTTCATAACCATATTTTATTTTGGTGTTGACATTTATACCATTACGTTGTCAAATATTTAAAGAACAGATAATATGTCATAGAAATCAATAAACAGCTACTTACTTTCTGTGGGTGAATCTGAAATGGCAGTAATGTGACTAGTGAATTCTGAATATGCCAATGATGCATTCTGAAATCCTGTTTAAAATAACCAGTTCAGAGAGTGGATAATCTTTAAGAACAACATCATGATATTGTTGATTATAAGATGGGTGGCTATATAAATGTTTTAAGTAAATAAAATAAAAACTAAAATAAATAGCAATAAAGTATCATAATCATAGGTTTTCATTCTAAATATAGTGTTCCCACTGATAGATAAGATAGTGAAATGAAAACCGAATTGAAGGAATGCAGAATTACTTTAATGTTCAAGGAAACCCAGAAGTACTATGAATTTTTAAATTATAGCAATCAAAATCAGAAAAGCATGATGGCTTTTTGGAAAACACTATACAATATTACACAATAGTATAACTTACTAGGACAAAATTAAAAATATTACATGTATTTATAAATTCATACCAAGTACCATTTGACCAGTGCTCAACATGAGATACAGATAAAACAACTACATTTGGTTAAGTTTATCTTTAGCTGTATACAAGCAAGAGAAGGGCAATTAAAAAAATTGTACATTATACTTGAAACCTAATTTGGAGTCAGGCTGAATTATAAGTAAAATAAACAGTCTTTATTTAAAAATTGTCTAAAGGGACAACTGCTAATTTTCTTTGCCTTTTCTGAAACTCATCAGGTAATCAAGGAAATTTATAATGCACTAGATTCATAAAAGTGACCTGCTCATATATTCAATTGAACTGATGGAAAGTTCAAAAGGGCTTAAAAGAGAAAGTGTACAATAGCACATCTGCTCTTTCTTCCCAATCTGTTTGCATTCAGATGGAGACCTGAAGACAACCTATAATGTATCTACAGTTATCCATGCAATTAAGAGAACCTGTTTTATGAGCCCCTGGACTGCGTGAAGATGTGAATTCAGAGTCAAGCCAATTACTTAATCATTCTCTTTTAGATTTCCAGCTATAAATATGAAAGTTAGGGAGCCTGGGGACATGTTTTATGATTATACAACTTAAAGTTTCCTTTTGTTCAAGTGAATTCCTCAACTGCATTTGCATTCATTTAACACAGCACATACTGAGACTATTCAACCTTTAGATCTTGCACAGTATGCTGGATGAAATAATATTTATGAGCAAGAGCTTAAAGTGCATGACTGAGATTGCTGGTGACTGCAAAATTTATTCCAGTAAACTGTTAGTCTCTAGAGTTAAAACTTCCTCCAAATTCAGACTTCACTTGGATGCCAATTCAATTAAAGAACAATATAGCTGCTGAATATGCAATTCCCTTAATAGGATGAAACACATGTACTATGAAGGCATGCATTTTTATTTGCTTCTGCAGATTTCACATGCCAAAAGTGTACTTGACTGAACATATATGCATGAGATAACATCTGGATTATAAATGGCCCCTAATTTCCCAAAGTGACTTACCATAAGTAATAAGTATTTCTTTAGATGAAAAAGTCTTTCTGTCATTTCTAGTGAAGTGGTATGAAGACATGCATTTGAATGTCTGATTAATGGATGGATGAGTTATATTCCATATTGACAAGAATGATGTCCTCTCGTAAAAACTTCCTACACGGTTCGTAGCTTTATTTTTGATTAATAAACCTTTGAAAGAAAAAAATGATAAAAATAACAGGTTTTCCCTTAAGTTCCTTCCTCTAGCAATAATTAAGTAAATAAGTTCCTGAAAGCAAGTTGTAAAATGCTTAATTACGTAATCAAAACAATACATCATTTTTATTTATAAAATGCCTTAACAAGCAGGTGGTATATAGGAATTGCATCTAAAAATTACAAATATTTGGAAATTTATAATCTCCAAAGATATTACAGGAAAAAGGTGAGCTGCCCCTCCCCCTCTTCTTCCTATCCTGCCAACAGTCCTCCAGGGAAAGAACGGTTGTGCTTTGGGGTAGAAACAAGTAGAGGGAATGAGCGAAAACGTGTAACACAATGGGGTGGTTGGAAACACACGAGTGAATCAACGGTTGGGGATAAGGAGGAGGGGGGAGTAGTCATCATTGAGATTACAGCAGATAGCCATGGGCAGGTGAGGGAAACAACTGAAAAAGAAGGGGAGGAAGGAACAATGCATCTGGGTGATGGGATGCATACAAAGAAAGCGATGGGCAAAAGGAAGGAGAGGGAGGGGAACAGCAGCCCTAGAAACTGGTGGTGCAATGATGGACAGCGGGGATGCACAAGGGAGGGGATTGGAGAAAAGAAAGTGGATAAGGGAATTGTGGCTTTAAAAACTATCAAGGGAGCAGCAAATACGTGCCTTTCAAGAATGAAACAATCAGAGACATTAGATGGACCAATGACTAGGTCCAAGAGCCGTGCATAAAACCGGACAGTGTTATAAAAGGAAACTCCCATTGACTTATTTCTATGCTCTGATGATGTCAACAGTGCTGGCCGACGAAAGCTCAGCATTTTTATTCAACAAATCCTAGTTTGATATTATCCTGGTGTTTGTATTTATTTGTTTTTACTATAGATAGATAGATAGATAGATAGATAGATAGATAGATAGATAGATAGATAGATAGATATAGATATAGATATATAGACATATAGATATAGGTTTCATAAAGAATAGATATGTTCTGAAAAAGAAATATGGAAGCTGCAGCTTTTCAAAAGCTTTTGTATTACAGTATTCCCTGCCCCCCCAATAACCATGCTGATTGGAAGAGATAACTGATAGAAGGATTACAATTTTCCATATTGTTCCTGAAGAATTTGATATCTATATTTAATAGTTGGGCATTTGTTTTAAACTAGTTACAACAATTATTTTGCATTACCTTCAGATTTTTCATTCAGAATCTTTCCACCCATGTACCACATAAGTTTTGGCTTCGGATATGCCTTCTTTATCATACATGTGAAATGTGCCTGATTAAAAATAAACAGTAATCAAATCAGCAGTTCAAAGAAACAGAACTGATTCTTTTCCTATTTACTTTAAAGTTAAACTACTTATTCTATATTGCTTCTGGATGAAAAGATTAGTATTTGACACTTTGGAAAATAAAAGTATAACACCTCTTAAATTAAGAATAGATATGGTCCTCTATTCAAAGCACTGTTGGTTTAGCAGTCCTTTCTTCTATAGGATTGCCAAGTTGTCTGCAATGGAGAAATATGACATTTAGAAAATGGCATTGTGCCCATACTTAGCAGAGGACAGAATGGTTCACTGATATTCATGTTGTGAATTGTAAAAACTTTTTGTAACACCTAATACATATATTTCATTGAAATATAGAATTGGAAGAAATCACACAGACCATCCTAGGTGTAGCCTTTGCAATGTGCAAGAAAACCAACTGAAAGCTTCATGAAAGGTTGCTGTCCAGCCTCTTCTTTAAACACTCCAAAAAGTGCCGAAATCATAGCCTCCACAGGTAGGTTATTTCCCTGTTTTACAGTTCTTACCTTTGAGAAAATTTTCCCTTAACTCATACAAAGTTCAAGTTACAATAAGATATAGCCAGCAACTACAGTTTTTTTTCCTATTTTACAAGTGGTGATGGCTTTCAAGATAAGGAGATTCAATATTTGTCTTTCAAATTGCAATTGTTTTCTCTACTTCCCCATCACTGTGGTCATCATCATCATCTTCACCACCACTACGCAGAGAGAGTTGAGAAAAAGCTCCATTTTTTCCCTTAAGTTTTTCAACCACTTAAGAAGCTGATTATTGAAAAAAGAAAAGAAATCACAGGAGGGTGAATGAACATCTTTCTCCCATGTGTATGTGTGGAGCATTAAAATTTAGATGCTACTTCATCCTTAGTTCAAGCAATTAGCCCTCATTTAGGATTAAAATAAGCTATTTAGGCTTTTTTGTTAATAAGGAAACAATTTATTATTTTTGCTTTATATAGAGAGCTGAGTCAACTGATTTAAACAAATAGTATACAGAAGGAAATGGTGTCTGCTTTCACCTTTGTCTTAAGCTTGATTATCGGGGTTAATCCCCCTGATAAAGAACATCTTCTTTGAGCTGACTTCATGGTCACACTTCTTTGGTTAATTTGGGGTATTGTAACTACTGTTGGTTTTGTTTGGTTTTGTTAATGTCTCAGTGGGCTTCCCACTTTATAGGATTTTGAGCTGTTTTATTGTTTTAAGTTTTTTTTAAGAGTATTTTTTAACCATTGCATAAGAGCTTTTATTGTAATTTTTAAATTGTTTATATTCAAGTCTTGGACTTGCTTTTATCCATGAAAAGTAGTTTGTAATCCCAACAAATTTGGAAAGCTAGAATTTTCTTTTCCTGTTCATCCCCATCCATCTGGTTACCTCTGCCTCCATTTCCCTTCTGAAGTTTATTTACCACAAACTATTCTGCTGTCATGACTGATGACAGTGTATAAGATTTTCAGACACACATAGATAATATAATAATGAAGAGTACAACTAGTTAGAATGACACAAAATTTTGCAGATGTTAAATCTGACCACCTGTCCCATAATCACCTTGACTATACCATGCAGCAGTGCATATATAACCAAGCCACATAAATACCATATTTAAATAGTTCATAACAGGAAGGAAATGAAAAACATCACTGTGGTTCTGTCTGCCATGTGGTTTTGTGACAGAGCTTAAAAGCACAAGATTCTAATTTTTTATCACTTAGGTAAAGATGAAATATCAAGGAAATTCTCACTGTAACAGACATACTTACTAAATCTGTGCAATATTTTGTTGAGGTATCTGAGGTGCAAAATATAATTATTGGAACACAAAATACCTCCATTTTACATTAAATCCCTGTTGCTATAGAAACAATTACATTTATCTTCATGGATACTGAGGTTCTCCAGAAAGACAATGGTTAAGAGGAAAGTGAGAAAAGAATAACAGTTTATGAATCCCAAACTTTAATTGGATACTAAAGCAGCATTTAAAATATCAGTTTCTGTGCTGGAGCACAACTAACTCTGGAGAATTATTTTACAGATGCTTAGTTCAGAATTCTGCAAAGAAGAATTTAGAGGTAAATTAGAAAGGGTTCTTATCAGCCCAGTTCTATCAGAAATAGAATATAACTCCCAAGAATATACCATTATTCCAATTACTGATAGCATTATAAGTCTGTCTTAGGAAGCTAGCAAGCAAGCAAACAAAGAAATAATTTTCCACTATTGTGGGAAACTATGGGAATTATATGTTTTCTCACAATTATTCAAATTGAGAAAATATTTACTAAATATATAGATGGCCATTTAAAGAGGCTGTTTACAGATAGGAAGAGAAACATATACAAGGAGGCTTTGCAACCACCAGACTGGACTCCTATTTTTTCTTTTAGGGCACAGTCAGAGGGAGCACATCTATTTCTTCCTGTTTTCTTTTCTCAGCCAAGTACAAACTCTTGACTTTTCTAGAGCATTTTAAGATTTCTTCCAGTGGAAGAAGCTGTTGAGAAATTAGAGGGCAAGTTTCAGAAAAACATGCAAAAATTATTATGCAAAATGTTCAAATGCTCAATTTATTTGTAAAGTGGTTTAAAACTTTTAAAACTGATTTTTGCTCCTTTCAAGGTGTAATATAAAATTGCACAAACATTTACATAAATTAACTCACCTTTCCTTTGGAAACTGTATGGAGCACAATAGAGATTTCTGGTTTTGCTGCAGCACCAAAAAAAAAAAAAAGTTTTAATTAATTATACATAATCTAATTCAGCACAATGACCTTCTATACAACAAACATTAGATTATTTTATAGTTGAAAATATCAATCTGTGTTCAAAATAATAGGACATAGATGAAATCCATAGCTAAAGAGTATGCAATATCAGGATTTCTTTCAATAGCCCAGTACTGTCTGCTTAGTATACATTATTCTAGCAAATTTCAAAAAATATCTCTGATTAGTCTACCCTATGGTTTCCACTTCTTATTGTATTATTGCCTTGGATGCCTAGCATCTATTTGTACGTTTATATTTTTATATACATACACATATATACTATGTGTGTGTATACATATGTGTACATCATGTATGTGGGAGCCTATTTATATCATAATTTTATAATAATTATGTTAAGTGTTATAATACAATATTAAAAATTAAACATTACAATACAAACTAAAAAATAGAATAAAGAGAAAAATATGATGCTGCAGAAAAGAAGAAAATACGAAAGAAAGAATAAAAACATAGTAAAGAAAAGGGAGGACATTTATTAAAAAAAAACCTAACTTCTCCTTTCATTATAACAAGTATACATTTTTTTTAGTAACTTATCACCTTCTCTTAAAATAAGTCTGGATTATTCTATGTTTTTGTTGGACTGGGTCTGACAAAAATCAAAGTTCTAAACACCATAGTTTATTTGAAAACAATTTTGAAAAAGTTCTTAAATTTGTAATTAACTTAATTCACTAAAGATTAAAAGGAATTCATCTGGTGCCGTCAAACTTGTTGATTCTAAAGTTCCTAATAGTTGAAAAGCAGTTAACAAGTAATTTCTAAAAGTGTTTAGAAAAAATATGCACACCTAGCATCCTTTCAAAGGCACCAATTACAGTTTGAGCAAGGTGTTTATTCCCTCATCTCTAAACCTACTAGAGACTGCTGTCTTGTAATCTACTCAAAAGGAGCAGCTGTTTGGAGCTCTTCTGGGTGATCTCAATTCCTCTCTTTATCCAAGTGAAATTATTGAAGAGCTGGTCTACTTCTCAGCTCTTCATTCCATTTTCTGCTTTTCACACAGCCGTCTTTAGTCTGCCATTTATCCCCTATTTATGTAACACATTTAAAGGAAATTCAGTGACATTAAAGCTGGCATCAGAACCTAATATGTTTTTGTAAAAAAAAACACACATAACTTAATCAACAGGCTTTTTTTCAGTTTAAGGAAGGAAAGAAAGAGAGAAAGAGATCATAAAACTACAATATTTGCATTAATCAGTACTGAGAATATTAAATTCTATCTATGATGATATAAAAATTATCATTATCCCAATCCTTTTAAAATAAGCCCTTAAAACCTGGCTCCATTCTAAGGCCTGGCTTAGAATGAGTGGTAGACCTCTTTTAGGATGTTTTGGATATTTAATTGGTTGTTATTTTTTTCAAGTCTCTCTTTTGGGTTATATATTGTGTTTCAACTATTGGTAGCAGGATCCTGTAGGTCACCCAGTATTGTATGGATTGGGGCAGAAAGAAAAGAACAAAACAAAAAGTGAAAAGAGTGATATAGACACGGCAATACAGATAATCCTCATTTAAGACCAGCCACTGATTTGCTAATTGATGCAGTTACTAAGTGAAAATCACATGACCATGACTGTGCTTAGGATTTTACTTTAGGTTGGTTTTTTTTTTTTTGCCTTTTAGAATTTTACCCAAGTTCTGAGATAATTAACAAGAAGGGAATTAACGTTTGCATTTACATTCATTGGGCAGGAAGGAAGAGAAAAGCAACATATAATGGAAAATACATATTGAAAGGAATTTGCTAGAAAAGGCAGCTGTAAACACACTAGGCAAACAGCTTGTGTTTTCCTCATTATGTGCCTGCTTGCTTTCTTCTAAACCCTTTCTCTCCATTCTCTCAACTCTGCAAGGAGGGGGAAAAGGGTTTAGCTGTTTAAAGTTTGCATTACAGATTTGTTTTGGAGTTATGGGGGAGGGAGCTCCTGTAGAACTTTAGGTACTATTTCTGAGTCATAAACCATGATTTATAAACCACACTGTTTTGGTTCAAATGGAAACTAAATGACTTCACACAATGTATAAATTTGGTTGCCTTATATTCTTCTTAGCTGCAGATGGTTGATATATTATTAACCTCTGACCACATTAAGCCACCCTGATGACCCATCAAGATCATTGCTTTCTGTATACGTTTGCATGATTTTCCAGAGTTTGTAAAAAGCAGTTGCTCTTGGAGGAGTGGAATCACCTTATTCCATAGTAGTATGGAATTGATAGTATCTATCAGAGTTGACTATATGATGACATCTGGAATAGACTAGAAAGTTATTGCTGAATTAGTTGCTGCCCAGTAACTATGAATATTTCTTGGTGTGTTGCTTCTCCTTTTTTGTAAACTGAAAGCCCAATTGCTCCCCTTGGAAAAAAAAAACCACTCAATATATTTGGTACATACCTTAGGTTAGTAAACATGTTCCAAATTATATATCTGAATGATTGCACTATCAACCGTCTCAAGAAAGAACTATGCAAAGATGAAATTTCTAATACTATTAAAGTCATTATGGAAAGATCAGATATTTTCATAGTTAAGTTGTCCTTCCTCTTTTATATATTTATGATCTTTCTTTTAAAATGAAGAATACCAACAGAGCAAATGTTGACAACCTCTTTACTTTTTTCCTCCAATTTCCTTTTGTTTCTATTTCTTCCTTCTTTCTCTAAATTCCCAGGTGTACCATAACACTCCATTTGCCTAAAACCAATGGCTTTTAATTATTCTTGCTATATCTTTAATTTTTTTAGCTAAACCTGTGCAATCATTGTTCATAAAAACACAGCTACGCTTGATTTGGCTAAAGGCTCAGCTCCATTTGTTAGTAGTGATTTATATTATTAACCTTTATTTTCAATTTGTATGAGCTAATTGAATTCATTCTGGAAGTTGATTGAAGAATTGTTAGGAAATAATCAAAATATTCTACTTCCTAGCCTTCTCTGTCTATGAATACACTACTTTTCTCTTCAAAAAAAAATCTATTGCATCTGTATTTGCTAAGTAAATTAATCAAGATACACTGTTGTCAAGATCAAATTCTTCAAGATGTGTATCAGATGTGGAAACATAGTATTCAAATAATGGCTAACAGAAAACGAAAAGAAGTAATAGCACCAATAAAAATCAACATAAAGTTCTTAATCACCGTGAGAATAAAATCAGAGATGGATAATAATATTAAATATTATAGAACACAAATAATATGCCTCCTTTTGCTCATGACAGCTTTTTAGATAAAGGAAGACAACTATAATATTTATTATTCATTTTGTTTTATTACAAGTTAATGATGCCCTAATCATTTTTCAACTGTTCCTCATAGGGCTTGATTTCCAAATCTCTTAATATATTGGTAGTTTACTTCTGAACTCATTTCAGCTTTTGCCCAGAACTGGACACAATAATCCAATTGTAGTCTAACCTATTGAAGTCCTAGATTAGTCAGCAGCAATTAGTATTCTAGGGAAAATGTACAATCTTTCAAACCTCAACGCCAGGATTGACTTTTTTTTTCACTTAAAAGCTGACATCTTGTTTAACTTGGGGACATGAAGAGTAGAATTAAACTGTACAAAATCTGGATGTACTGCTTCCATTAATACAACCCAAGATTACATTAGCCTGTTTAGCAAAGACATCACACTGCTTGCTCATATTAAGCTAGCAGTCCATAGTCATTATATGCACTGCTACCAAATGAGTTTTTATGTTCTTGAACTTATGTACATTTTTTTATACTTGTGATTCAAAAAACCTAAATCTATTATTGGGCCAAATCTAACATAATCCTATGGCATTTGATCCAGTATTCAAGCTTTTAAAAATCATTTGAATTGTGATTTTGTTCTTAAGTTATTAGCCAGTATCCCTAGCTTGGAGTCATCTGCAGATTTGATAAACAGCTTTTTTTATCCCATCTTCTAGATGATTTTTAAAGATGTTGAACACCATTGGGCTTAGGATGGAGCCCTAAAAACAAATTAAATTGAATTGATAAATTCATATCCAACATATTTTTTATTTTGCTTTTATGTTAAAAATTCATTATTTTGTCAATGGGAATGAAGTCATTCATAGAACTGAAAATTTCTAGAAGCAGACAAAATAGTTCAAACTCCTTCTTTTATATACAGTATGCATAAAAGCTGAAGTGGACCTATGCTTTCTGGCCCTTCACTAAGCAGTTGCTCCCTGGCCTGGCTACAACAGTCTTGTGTAGAACATAAACTCATGCATAAATACTATGCCACAGATCTATACATTTCATATAATCAATTGCCACTTAAAAAAAAGGAACTTATTAGTAAAAGGAGAAGATTGGTCCACCTAGAGAAGGCATCAAGGATTTTATGGAGTAAAATAAGTACTGTAAGGTCTTGCTTGAGGCATCCATTTTACCTTTAAAACTCTAATAACTCCCCCCTCCCTCCAATGGATAGAAAATGTTGGATGCTTGGTGGAAATTCTAGGAGTCTTAAAAATGCTGGGGGAAGGTCATAGGTGGTGCATAGGTCACAACCTGTGCATCTATACCTTATGCTATGCGAAAACATGCATGTGTAGGCTAGAATCCCAATTGTGAAGACTTTCAGAAAAGATGTCCTTATGTCTCATAGAAGAAGCCTAACAGATGGATATGTAGGGCAGTGGTCTTAGGTGATTACATGACCCCATTAGTAAGAGACAGGCTGTGCTCTGCTACCAATTTGTGGCACAGAAGTTCCTTTGTACAAAATAGAAACATGTTAAATACTGTTACTTAAGAAAATAAGCATTTAAGAAAATCGATTTTAGAAAGTAACGTTTGAAAAAAACCAGTGTCGATTAAGTTTTTAGCCTATTACAATAGCTCCTCCTCACCAAATGTTTTCACTTGAGTGGCACTTTCCTGAATTCTTCCGGAGACAGCAGCAATTGAACAGACAAACGTCTTGCCATCATCAATAACTGTCACTGGAGAAATCAATAATGCATTTTTGGAACTCATTTGGATTCTGTCCTTGTACACAGTGAGATTATTGGCTGTATAGCCTTGAAGGTAATAGGACTGTTTCTTGATTAGGATCTTTTCAGTTCCATTTTCTTTCTGCTAGAAATGGGAAATATATCAACAATGCATTGCCATGAAAAAGCATGAATTATCATTAATTCTTTCTTTTTAATGTAATAGAAGATGCTGATATAATAGCAATTGTACAACTCGAATAGGTGAATTTCCTATAAGAAGAGCTACTAGCTATTTGGTAGCTATCTCTCTTTCCCATCATCTATATTTCATAATCTATCTCAAGAACAGTCCTTTTCTGTTATAAATTTCAGTTTAGGACATATCTCTTTTGTTACCTAATTCTGATAGAAAATAGACCTCAGACTCCAGAATGAAAGAAGGAAACATTTTTTTTCTTTTTAATATCTTCTTCCCAACAGCAATTATACAGAAGGTTTACTTATAAATAGAAATAAAATAGCAATATTCTCTAACAAAAGTACTGAATCTCTGACTAAAAGAATGGAGAAATATTTTTTTTCTTGAGAACCTTAAGTTATGTGCATTTTTCTGTGTCTCAGTGTGAGTCTCTCTGTGTGCATGCCCACAAATCCAGAGACCACACAAACATGCAATAAGTCAGTGATGATCTAACAGTTTCCAAAATCTCAAGCTTCAGAAACTGTAGAGGCCGACATGATGACTAATATTAATACTTGGCCCCAATTAAAAAGTTCCCAGACATATTTTGCACTACTAAAGTTCTAAAAGTTCAAAGGCTCAGCCAATCTCATTGTATACATGTTGTACTTTGATAATAAAGGTTCATTCATACAAAGGACAAATCAGATCTAAAGGCTGAATGATTTGATTCAGCAGTTTCATATAAATATTAAAACTGTATTGGGATAAAGTGGAAATTTGCAGAACTTCAATGCAAGAATAAAACATTCTAGTGTTTCCACCCAAAAATGCTTACTCAGGAAAGACATAAATGATAGAATTGCCAGCTCACGCATAAGGTTATCTGGGAAATATTATGTGTCAACAGTATCTAAGTAACAAGTATGACTGGAGTAACTGAAGCTCTATCCATTTTTATGTAAATATGATGCATGTTTGATGCACATTAAAACAAAGGATGGGACTTCATTGCCTAGATTCACCTGTTCTTTTGAACCTGTTGACTCTCCCCTTTTGCGTGACCAGTTTATGGCAGTGGTATTATAGGCTAGTAAGAATGGAACTGGACTTTTAGGGCCCTTTAAATAATTGGGAGGGTTAAAAAAAAAACTAAAAACAAAGCAGGTTCAATGAAGAAGTTTATATAAATTTGGATATCTCAAAATAAAAATCTATTAGGAGCAGCCTTATCCGTACAGCACTAATATGCATGCTAGATAATTTATATAAAATATTTTCAGTAAACATATTTAGTGCTGCCAAGACAAATAACTGCAGTTTAGAATTACAGTTACTTGAATATGATATGCTTGGGTTCATATCATACATCTCCTAAACATGGATAATCTAGGAAGACACATGAAATCCTCAAGATTGCAAACTTCCAAAGTCACAGCCTTCAATTTAGGAGCAAATTAAGTTTTAATGATAATTTTCCAACTACTTTAAAAAGCAAAATAACAAACAAGATATATTCTGACAGGCTCAGTGATGCTGCTTTGGTCTTAGGTCTTCTCCTACTGTTATTTTATTGAAAAAAAGTTACTTACCAGTGACCATGTTACAGAAGCATTTGTCAGGTTTATATAACTAGGCATACTATTCATGCACAGAATTTCAAGGGACTGGTTGAGTAAAGCTTGTAACACAGAATTCTTGTATTCTTTTATCAAGAAGAAAAAATGTAAAATAAAAAGAAGAATATTATATAGAAAATACCAATGTACAATGCATGTAAAATTCTGCAAGTTCTATTGTTTAGTACATTTATCCTCATTGTGAATATAAAAGAATAGTTGTCCAAAATAAGAATAGACCTCTTTTGTTAGATAGAAAACAGTTCACAGATAGTTAACTATAAGGAGAGGTCAGTGATTTCTTGATATTTCAAGATTTAAAATGTTTTGCTTAGAACAAAAACTTTAATTTTGTAGCTCCTTCATCTGCTACAGCCAAGAGGAGGTAAACCAAACTTATTTTAGGCTTGTAAACCTATTTTGTAGATTTGTGCACTCAATCAAACAGATAAATGAAAACAGAAAGTCTTCTTTAAGAAGGTAGAGTTTATTAAACAGCATTAGAACATTATACTTACAGTAATTCTAATTTAGTCTAGTTAGTGCTATAGGAATGAACTTGGACAATGTCAAAAATCCCTTTCCTTCCTCTAATATAGTTGTAAAATTATCAGAAATATTTGCTTCCAGTTTTATGGTTTGTGTCATTAATACACACACTATTTCAAAAGTTTCCACCAAATTGGCAGCTAAAGAAATTAAATAGAAAGAAAATTTATTTAGTAGTGTATCAAGAGTAGGATTTCCCCTGGGACTGAATAGGAAGTTCAGGGGGCTGCATACATCTAAAAGGGAGAACATTCTTGAACAAAATACAGGAATGTTAAAGCTAATTCTCTTTCATTAAATTGTATTAGAAACAGATGATTTAAAAAAAAAACAAATTAGAGAATTTCTATGCTTGAGACTAATATCTAAAAATTACTGAAGCTTGTTCCAGCTTCTGTGTTAAACTAGTTGGAAGCAAAATAAGGTTAATATCTATAAAGAAACCTCATGACAACCAAACATTAGTAAACATTCCAGGCAGACAAATGGAAAAGAATGATGACCACTGGATTAAATTAAAGTTAGGAAGCACTTGGTTAAATTACTCAATACTTCAGAAAACCTTGCATTTTCACAATGGCATATAAATCTTTTATTGTCTTTCCCTGTTTTTATTTATTGCTGATCTTATGGTAATGCTTTCCCTCTTTACTTTCGGCCAGTTATCACTCACCTAAAGATCTGGGGATGGATATTAAATCCAGGTAGTCCTTGACTTACAACCATTCATTTAGGAACTGTTTGAAGTTACTACAGCACTGAAAATAGTGTGTTATGACTATTTTTCAAACTTATGACCATTGCAGCATTGATAGATTAAGAAATGAGGCAGGATTTTGACCCCATCTCATAGCTGATCAGACAGCAAAAAAGCAGAAAAATGTATATTGGACTACTTATCAATTCTACTAGAATCTTTGCCCATTAGTGGCATCAGCTTGATGTTCTTTTTTTGTAATATGTCAAGCTATTTCTGGCAATCACAGTATTAGGTGTAGATATTACAAACAAAATTATATTTATGAATTCTTTTTTTCTAAATGAATGCCTATGATAGCATAGTTCTGGCTACTAGCATAAGAAACAGACTTCTCAAAAACCGGACAGCATGAAAGGAAATAGAATAAACAGACTAAAAACTGGTACATCAGATGAGAGCAGATGGTCATCTTAGACTGCATAAATAATAGCACACTATCAATAACTTAAAGCAGCAATTAAATGAACAACTATAGAACCTATTATGATATTAACAACTACCATCAAAACTGGTGCACAAAAACAAGTTAAAATAAAGAAAAACAAAATTGTAAATCAAATTTTTGAAGCTAGTCCAAATAGGAAAAGATGAAGCTGAACTAGAATGGGAAGTAAATATCTCCAGCCATCCTTTAACTACTTCAGAACAGAATATTATCCAGCAAGGACTAAATTATAACACAGAGAATGCCAGCCACCAGATTTTTTTGAATGCTTAATCACTCAAAATGACTGGACCAATTGATGAGAAGCAAGAGAATGTATTATACCCCTGGTCAAGTGGACATAGATTCATCAGGGTAGAAGAAAGAGTGATCCTAAAAACATTAAAAACTAACCAAACTATCTCAATACTTGTAATAAATTATGCACACAATTAACATTGATAGAACATAATGCATCCAAAAAGCAAAAGAAAAATGACAGAGAAAGGGGCGTTGTCTTACCTGAACGCCTTTTCTCAGCATGATGATGGAGAATCCACGGATGGGTTGTCTTAATCTATCTGCTCCAATTAGACTAAGTCTGAAATTTAGTACCTCCCCCTCTGTGCCAACTGCACCCCAGTTTTAGGCTAAGGCAATACTCAGACTTTAGTCCGACGCGTCTGAACAATATGGGAACCAGGCCAACTGACCTAATGGGAGGGAGTGGATTCTCCATCATCATGCTGAGAAAAGGCGTTCAGGTAAGACAACGCCCCTTTCTCCAGCATGATTGGATGGAGAACCCACGGATGGGACATACCAAAGCCCTGTGTCCCTAGGGTGGGGAATTAGATTGGGCCTGGGTCCCATCCAACGTTAATGCGTGTTCTAGAAACTTGCGGCCAAATGAAGCCATAGAAGATGCATATATATCCCTCTTGTAGTGACAGACAAAGGAAGAGGGCGATGCCCATGTTGCTGCTCTACAAATTCCCTCTACGGAGGCCTGAGTAGACCAGGCAGCTGTAGTAGCTGCGCCCCGGTGGAATGGGCCGTGATATGCCTGGGATCTCGCAGTGACTGAGACTGGTATGCCAGAGAAATACAAACTCTAATCCACCTGCGTATTGTGGTTGAAGAAACCTTCTAACCTAGTGATGAAGGGTGATAGGACACAAACAGAGCCTCTGTTCTGTGGAAAGATGAGGTTCTCTGTATATAACAATATAAGCTCTGCGCACATCCAATTTGTTCCACTGAACCTCTATGTCATTAGATGGGTTAAGACAGAAGTCCGGCAAAACTATTTCCTGAGATCTAGGATACAAGGATTTGACCTTAGGCACAAAGGAGGGGCCTAGCCTAAGGGTTACCCTGTCCTTATGGAACGTACACAGGTCCTTCCTCACTTAAGAATAGCCAGTTCAGATATCCTTCTCGCTGAAGTTACAGCAACAAGAAATTCCACCTTCATTGATAACTGTTTAAACAAACCAGTGTCAATAGTTCAAAGGGTGCGAAACAAGAGCCTATAAACCTGAAGAAGATCCCACGAGGGGTATCTATGTACAGTTGATGGTCTGACGTTGTTAGCTCCTTTTAGGAAGGAGCGTATCATAGGGTAATGTGTTAAGGATTCATTGCCACAGGAAATAACTGTGGCAAGTGCTGCTACCTGCCTGCGGATGGTGCTTGTGGAAAGCCCTTTGTCTAGACCATCCCTCAGGAACTCCAAGATAACTGGCATTGAAACCGCCAAAAGGTCAATTTTTCGAACTGAACACCAATTACAGGAGTCTCTCCATGTGGCATCGTATATTCTATTCGTCGAGGGTCGCCTGGATTGCTGAATCATAGCTATGACCCTTGACGAATATGAGTCTCAGCCTAAGGCCTGCCTCTCAAGTGCCAGACGGTTAACTGGAGTCATTGAGGGTCTGGATGGCGTAGTTCCCCCTGAATGTGGGAGATGCAATTTGCTGGGATCCTCCATGGAGATGATGCGGAGAGCTCCATCAGGTCGGCGACCAAGAGCGTCTCGGCCAATGTGGTGCAACCAGGAGGACCTCTGTTCGTTCGCGAAGGATCTTCCTGATCGTGGCAGGAAGAAACGGCAGAGGAGGGAAGGCATAGAGCAGTTCCCTGGGCCAGGGACTGCGGAGCGCATTTGTTCCCTCCGCTGATGGAGGTGGGAACCCGGAAAGGAATCTGGGAAGTTGTGAGTTGGTGGGGGAGGCAAAAGGTCTAAGGTTGGGGAACCAAACCTGTCCACGATCTCTCTGAACACCGTCGGATCCAGCTGCCATTCGGAATGGTCCATGGTTGCTCAGCTCAGTGAGTCTGCCTGCTGGTTGGTCACTCCGGATATTTGCTCCGCCCTGATGGAGGCAAGATTCAGTTCCGCCCAGGACCCCAGCAATTTGGCCTCCTGCATGAGAGGCCTGGACCTTGTCCCCCCTTGTCTGTTGACGTGGGCCTTGGCTGTAATGTTGTCGGTTAAAATCAGGACATGTTGGCCCTGTACTATATCGGTGAATCCCTTTAGGGCCATATGTATGGCTCTGAGTTCCAGCCAGTTTATATTGTTCTTTAGGTCCTATTTGGACCACCGACCTTGAGCCCAGTGCGTGTGGAGGTGTGCCCCCCACCCAAACAGGCTTGCATCTGTGGTAATGGTAATCCTGTCTGGTTCTAATACTGCTCCCCGTGACAGCGCCGGGGAGTCCCACCATTTAAGGGAGTTCAAGTCTCTGAAATGGAAGGAGAAGCCATGTAATTCTCTGGCATGGAGGCGTGCCCATGGCACAATTTGCACGCAGGACACCGTCTTCCCCAGTAGCTGTGATAGGGAGGCCAATGTGACTACTCTGGCCCTTTGGATCCGACGTACAAGAGTCTGAATAGAGTTCCTTCGGTCCTGAAATAGGTAGACCGTACAATTGTCCGTGTCTATAACAGCGCCCAAATGGAGGAGCCGGGTTGTTGTATGACTTTTCTGGAAATTAACAGAAAACCCGTGCTCCTGAAAGACCTTGATGGCTAGGGCGAGGTCTGACTGAGCGTTTCGGAATGATGATGACTGAATTAGTATGTCATCTAAATAGCATTGAATTCTGATTGGAATTTGTCTAAGGTGGGCTGCGAGCACTGCCAGTACCTTGTAAATACCCTCGGTGTCGATGAGAGGCCAAATGGTAGGGCTCTGTACTGGTAGTGGGCATAGCTGAATCTGAGGAATTTGCAGTGGTTAGGAAACATGTCTCAGTTAGGTCTATTGAGGTAAGAAAGTCACCTTGCCTGATGCTGGCCAGGATTGATTGAAGTGGTTGCATCTTAAACTTCTTATACCTCAAGTAAGGTTTAGACCTTTCAAGTCTAAGATTGCCCTCCAGCCCCCCAAGTCTTAGGGATGACGAAGAGGTTTGAGTAAAACCTTCGTCCTTCTTGGTCTTGTGTACTGGTTCAATTGCTCATATTTGTAATAAATGAGCTATGGCCTCTGACATAAAGTCAGCCCTGGACCTGCTCGTTGGGATAGGGCAAGAGCGGAATTTGTCAGGTGGTTGAGAACAAAATTCTAGTCTCAAACCTTGCGTGACAGTGTCTAACACCCATGCATCTGTAGTGATGGCTGTCCAAGTGCTGGAATAAGGGGCCAGCCGGCATCTGTAGTGGTGACTGCCCAAGTGCTGGAATAAGGGGCCAGCTGGCTTCCTATGGGAAGTGAGACTGTGAGATCACTTGCCTCGTTTAGAGGAACGGCCCCTCGGCCTTGAAGGGGCCGCTTGGCCTGGATCTGTGGTCTGCTTCTGCATGCTGAACGATCCTGCTGTCGTTCTTGTCTCTGAAAGGAATAGAGGGATGCCTGGGCCCAGTCCCAGGATGGAGCTGGTCGAAAGGCAGCCTCCTGTAACTGCTCTGTGACATGAGTTAACCAGAGTTTTATGTTTGTCCTTACCTTCAGTTAAGTATGGTTCTAGTGCCTTACCAAAGAGATGTCCACCTGTGTAAGGTTTAGAGGCCAGACGCCACTTGGTCTTGGTGTCTGCTCGCCAATTCCTGGGCCAAAGGAGCCTTCATGCTGAGATGTCTGCAGCGATGGTCTGGCAGTGTATCTAGCCATGTGCAGAGAAGCGTCGGCTAGGTACTGGGATGTAGCCACTAACTTACCCAGATTTTGGTGAGCTCTGAGCTGGTCCGGAGGGATCCTGTCCTGGAGCTCATGTAACCCAAGGGCTGAAGCCCTGGCAAAGAAGGCCATAGACGTTGCCGCCTTTGTTGCCCAGGCTGATGCCAGATGGGAACTATGCAATGCGGAGTCAATCTTTTTATCCTCCGCCCTAAGTGCCTCATTTATGTCCCCAGGGATGTTAGCATTGGGAAACAATGAGTTCAAGGCTCCTCAATCTCAGGAATCTCCAATAGGGAGGCCAGAGAACGGGCAACATTGAATAATGTTCCCTCTACTGCACCGGGGCTTAAGAAGGATCCTAAGTTCTCCCATTGTTCTTGAACTATATTCAGAAAAAGGGGAGGGCAGGGAATATTGTTCTGCGAGACTGAGGGCTCGGTGTATATGGCGTGGGGACCCTTGGACGTTGTAGGTGGGGTCTCCTGTTCTTGGGGGAGGTTTGCAGTAGTGCAGGCCCTGAGTAGCAGGGAATTAAAGAATGAATGGTCAAAGAGACCGACAGGAGGGGTGGGGTCAGAGGGAGTGATGCCCTCGTCCTCAAACAAAATCAGGCCAGATTGTTCAGCCCCTGTAGATTCCAAATCCGATGAGGGATCCTCCATCAAATCTGGAGATTGTGGATGATACGTGGCCTGGGGGGGTGGCTGTGGGGTGTTGGAGGCCATAAACTGAGCCACAGCCTGGGCTATCATGGACTGAAGGAGGTCCGGGTTCAAGGCCTGGTTCTCAGGAGGGCGAAGCCCTGCTGCAGTGGGGGTGAACGTGGCCTGGGGTCCTGGGGTGTCCTGGTTGGTTATGCCCCTCCCTGGGTCCCTCTTGTGGTTAAATCTAATTGGGGAATTCCCCTGGGGGGAGACCAGGCCCCTGGGGCTGAGGCACAATGTGAGGAAAGGGGTTCAAAAATGGACTTTCCCATCGTGCCTGTCAGATCTGGGGAGGCCGCTCTCAGTCTTTGGGACTCCTCCTCCCTCTGTGGCTCCCTGCTTGGCCGGGCTCACTTGGTGGTGTTCTTTCCACTTGCCTCTGTTTGGCATTTCCTCTTGGCCGGCTCGCTGATTTTCTCTGCCATGATGAGTTGTTCTGGGCTCAACCTTGGCAAAACGCCCCCCCCTCGGCGCTGTAACTCACCAAGGGAGCCTGCAGAGATGATTCAGCCCGTGAGGGGGGTGGGCGGGGAATTAATGGGCACCGCATCCCTTGGGAGCGAACAGGCCCTCCCCAGTTCAACGCTGTAGTCTCGAAGCCTCTGCCACCAGTGATGAACACTGCCTTCAGGAGAAACTCCAGGCAGTCTGGGCCTCAGTCACACACAAAATGGCCTCCGTGAGTCAATTCAAAATGGCGGCTGCAGAGTTCGTGCCAAAAAAACAGCAGTTAGAAGAAGGCCTTGAGGCCTGAGGCCTACGCTGTGATGACCCCTCGTTCCGAGGAATTGCTTGGGCCCCTAGCGCAGCAAATGGATTCCAATTAGGTGAGCTGAGAGAGGCTGAGGCAGGCCGAGGCCTAGTAAGGCCTCCAGGCTCTGAAAATTGGATCGGTGCCCAAAACTTTCTCCTGCTGCTGGGGCGGTCTGCTGAGGCTGAGGGACCTAGAAAACGCTTCCTCCAGCCCTGATGAGCCTTGTCATCCCTTGCGGAGCCCCCTAGTCAATTGGCAAGCTTACCCCTGCCTCTAAGGCCTCCAGGCTCTGGTTAGAAGAATGGAGCCTCTGATGCAGAGGAACGGCCCCTGGTAGGAGATTTCTCTTGCTTCTGGGAATCCAATTTTCAAGCTGATTGTGAAGCTGAAAGGCTCTCAAAGGGAGAAAGGGAAAGTTTCCCCCCCCCCAAAGGGAGGTTTTGTCAGCCTGTCAGCCTGCTAGGCTACAGGTTGGGATGAAATAAAATAGGAATACACAGTCTTCTGCTCCAGGAGCGAAGAAAAAACGCGTCTTAGAGCAAAGAGACTAAGTCTAAAACTGGGGTGCAGTTGGCACAGAGGGGGCGGTACTAAATTTCAGACTTAGTCTAATTGGAGCAGATAGATTAAGACAACCCATCCATGGGTTCTCCATCCAATCATGCTGGAGAAACCTATCATCTCGTAAACACAAGCCCAGTGAAAAAACTGAACAACCAATTCTAGAAAACCCACAACAATATCAAACAAAAGACCTATCGCAAAAAGAATAATGTTGTATGAAAAGAACTGGCCCCAGTTTGTCTTGATGTCCCCCCCTCCTCATTTCTAGCATTTTCTCTATAGTTTCTGCATAAGATTCATTTCCCATCCTTGTCAATAGTTATCAACTTTGCAACAAAGTAATTGTAACACAAACACATACAACCAATAACACCATAAAAATAAAAAGAGTAGAGGTTGAATTTTTTTAGTATCCAAGTGTTGCATTTACTGAACGTATGCCCATGATATCAGGTGAGTTTTTAAGGAAAATGAAAAACAGTAGTAACGACAATATAAAAAATAAAAATGCTGATAATAAATTGATAATCTGACTTGTATAATGACAGCTCTGAGGGCCACATACAGATTTCCCCCCTCAATTTAGGTTACATTACGTTACTTTTTTGTATATTTTTCATTAAAACAATCTATTACTGTACTTACCTCTTTTCTTAACAAAAAGGTGTATTTTTGAGCTACTTGTTCCAGTTGGAAATGTGGTAAAGATACATTCATAGGAGCCAGAGAGCTCAAATGTGACATTCTTCAGTTGTAGAATCCACTGATTGCATTCTAGGTTGTTTGCTACAGAATTAACCTCTTTGGAAGTCCTGCTGAAGTCAGTCAAACAATCATGGAAACCTTTCTCAAAACTTGCTGAATTGTTGTAGGCCGCTTCAGAATATTTTGTACCATAGAGAGGGTTATATACAGCTATTATTCTTGATAGACCATCAGCAAACTTAGACCACTGAATCTGTGTCACATGGGTTTCTTTTCCTTGCAAGATGCTGCATTTTAGAGTCACACTGCTACCAGCCAATGCACAGACAGTTTTTTCATTTGTAATTATAAGTGCAGTACATCCTACAAATAAATATAGTAGGCATAGTATCACAGTCATGTTTAATAGTCGTTATATTAACTTAGCCTTCTTCTGTTTGATGCTGTCATTAAAAAATGCTCCAATTTCTTATATTTATGATTTATAATTTAAAACAGTGATAAATAAACATCATTTAATATTTATAAGTTAGTATATTAAAGATTTTGACTCTGTACAGAGAAAATGACAATGTCCCAAAGTCACCCAGTTACCATGTAAAAGAGTGACTAAAACCTGGATCACCTTACTGCTAATCTAGAGCAGGGATATCAAACTGCCGGCCCATGGGCCAGATGCGTCATGCAGAAGCAAAACTGTCCCGATATGTTGCACGTGACATCATGAGTTTGACATGTCTGATCTAGAGCCTTAGCCACCCCACATTATCAAGGATTGCACTGCTAATAATGGGTAGAAATCTGACAAAAACTGAATTAAATTTAAATATTTAAATGCAATTCATTGAAATCCTCCTTCCCCTTCCATTTCTATCACATTAGACTTTAAATCTGATGGCAAACTGTGCAGGTCCTCTGAAGCCACAACCAAGTTTTTGAAAAAACTTGCATGCAGCCCTAGAATAATAGGATTCTTTTTCCAGATTTTTTTAAATGCCACCATTGTTATTTGTATAAATAGCTCGATGCAGTTACCTAATACTTCTTCTTCCTCTTATTTTTGCCACAACAACAGTCCTGTGAGGTGGGTTAGACTGAAAAAGAATCAGTGGCTGAAAGACATCTAGCCCACCTTCAGCCTAAAGCAAAATTAGAACTTACAGTCTTCTGGCTTCTAGTCTGGTCTCTTTAAATTAAACCAAACTGGCCTTGTACTCTTAATATAAAATTCTGCTTTATCCTGAGCGCTAACATGATGGGACTGAACTTTGACTGAAAATTTAAACAAGCAGGTGTATATTTCTAAACAAAAAGAAATAAAAAGAGCAGTATAAAGAGGCCTGGAAATTCAAAGAATGATGTATTTTGTTATCATCTTAGTTTCAGGAAGCTGCTCTATTTTTGACCAAGCTTGGCACAGGCAATTTTTCCTTGTAAGTATCTTTGGTTCATATGGAGGATTAAAATGCAACATACAGGGCATTAAGAATAAATATTTTAATAGGTAATTTTTATTAATAGCCTTTTTATCTTAAAAATGTGTCACCACTCTTTGTACTTTCTGTTTCAAGTTGGGAGTGTTCTATTATCAGGCCAAAGTTGTTAAGACTGGCTGGCTGACTGGTTTGTATTTAGGCTAATATCCTATATAGAGAATTATCTGGTACACTACCTGCTTGTCTTCTCATGCATGAGCAGGAGATAAAATCAGACTGTTAATATCAAAAACATTTTTCTTGCATTGATTTAGGTCATATCCCAGGATGATCTCCTGTTCATGCTTGATTAAACTGCATTGTGGGAAGGAGACATCAAGTAAGCTTCACTACAATAATGCACTTAACTCAGATGGACAATTCATATTCTTATTTGAAAGACACTTTCTCTAACATTTAGGACAAAAGCTACATTGATAGGTGCACCAAAAATAACAAAAAATTCAGTAAATACTCTCCAGGGTCAAGCTTGATTCTTGATGACTTCCTGAACTTCTCCATGTAGCTTCTTTTTAGTTTAGAAGTAGTTTTGCCTTTTTTTCCTAGGTGGGTATATATATTTTTCTTTTTCTTCCAAACCTTTTTGGATTTCCTAGACAAACCTACAGAAGGGATTTTCTGATTGTCCCTTCAGGGTACTCCCCAGGTCTAACTTTGCTTAGCTTATTTGGTTATCCACTTGTTGAAAGAAAAATCTTTATCAGGGTCCAGTCCAAGCCGGGAATAAACAAAATGGAGATTGCTTTAGAAAGAAGGTTGTAGTTTATTGAAGAGCAGAGCCAGACAGAAATGTGGCTCTGGGAGCACTGACCACATGTAGCTTGGAGTGGTGGGTTTTTATACCTTCTTGGGCTTTTATGTTTGAGGTTGTTTCTTGTTCCTCTGGCAGGAACTTTGGCCTGAGCTTTTGAGCATGTCCTTTGGTGTTCTGATGATGGTGGATTAATCCTATTATGTCCTAAAGGTCATGTCTTTAGAGTTTGGGTGGGGTATATAGATTTTAGGGGTCAGCTCCAAGCTTCCTGGTCCCAACCTTTCTGAATAGGATTGTCAAATCTGAGTTTCTACAGAGCTGGCTTCTGCCTGAGGGAGAGGGCTGTGGCTGGTTTCTGGGGTCTGATTTCTGTCTTTTAAGATTTTCATTCTCCATTACTGTATTCCTTTGGGAAATATAATATTCTACTTTTTAATATTCCCCAAAATATTTCTTTCTCTGGGCGGAGTGTGTTGTCCTCCTACACACTAATGAGCTGATAATGATTTCATTCTTTAATTAAGAACATTTTAATTTAATCCCATAGTACTAACAAACTTTTAATCCTACAGTTTTTAGAAAATTCATAATTGAACTAAGCTAGTTTGATTCTTAGAATAACAATCACCTTATAAGAACAAAGATCCAGCAATTAGAGCCAGAAAATATAATTTTGTATTTAAACAGAAACAATAATCGTATATACTACCTTGTGCTCTAACAAGGAACTGAAAAAACAATTTCATACACCAGTTATCATCATTTTATGGAAAGAACTTACCATTGAGGACACATGCTAGGATGAGTAAATAAAACACCTGAAATCCCATCTTCTGATTGTATAAAAAATAAATACTGTTAATAACAGTCTGCTCAGTATTCAACAACGGATAGCTTCATTCCTTCAACAGTGAGTATGCTTTTCATACTTTCTTTTTCGCAGGTTTGAGAAGAAACATACTTACAGGAAATGAAACCACCCACTGAGGGTGTTTTAAAAATGTAAATGCATTCTGCCTTTTAAAAAAAAGAATAAATAAAACTTCATTTTATATTAACTTGTCCTACTGCCCAAATATTATTGACATGCCAAGTTTAGGATTTCAGTTTTCAGTGAAACATTCCATAGCAACTAATGACAATTGACAATAGAATTTAAAGCTCATTGAAAAACATGTAGACTGATTAGTTATATAATATGCATGATAACAATGGGTGTTTGATCATTATTGGTGTTCCTTCCCTCACCCTTCCTTTCTATGCTAGAAATTCAGCATGAGGTACCTGACTCTACAATGAGATCTAGACTAGACAACTCTGGGTAGATGAATTTGACTATTCATAGCAGTACTTAAATCAAGAAAAAATTTACCAGGAACTATAACAAAGTCCACTTCCTTAGAGAGTTTTATTAATCGGTTTAGTGTACAAAAATGATTATTAGGGATTCTTTACTCTTTACATGGATCTATTTTTGTGGATCAGAGGTAATATAATACCTGAACAAAAACAAAACCAACAAAATATTCGGCCATTGGTGAAACTGAATTACATAGATTTCGGGCCAAATCTGGAAAAACTCTTTCGTTTTTATGACGTTGAAAGAAAATTGACATAGCACATGTGAAATGCTTTAAACAATCTAAAATCTTATTTTAAAAAAAGTTAGAATTACAATTTTCTGGAATAGGGAATCTCTGACCTATTTTAAATCATTAGCTCTTATAGTACAGGCTATTAATTTTGTGACACAATTGTCTATTTTCTATGTTGGTTTCTTCTGATCTCCTCCCCTCATCCCTTCTCTCTTATCTGGAAGAGAGCAAGAAGTCAGCATATACCCTATCTACATGATTCACTAGAAAAATAGCTTCATCACAGTTGTATTGATCCGATAGCTATTCATCACAATTGAACATGATATATGCTATGAGCACAAGTGGTTTGATTATCAGTCTCAGTAGTTCTGAGGTCATAAGTTCCTATCCTCAGAGAGGTTAGCAGAAAACCATTATTCTTCTGCATTGGCTTTGAGTGGACTTATATGCTGACACTTGTCATACCACTTGGAATTTACAAGTCAGTGAAGATAAGATAAGAATAATTTATCTTGCTTAAGCTACGACACACAGGATAAGTAATTATTTAGATGTGAGATAAAAGAAATCAGCAAAGGGGAATTTTGCAAAATATATTTTGGATTGCCAGTATTATCTTTTTGAGGGATTCTTGATGCTCTCTGAACTTGGTTGTGGGTTTTTTTTGCAGATGTTTCATTACCCAAACTAGGTAACAACCTCAGTGCTAGTGATTATCTTTTTGCACTAATGCTTCTTTGCAACTTTGAAAGTTTAGCAGTATCTGCCATGTAAGAGAGAATACAGATTTTGTGTGTATTTCCTCCCTTTCCTTACGATCTTGCAAAATCTATGCAAATCTAAGTTCCAAAAGATCTTTTTATTGTCACTTTCTTATAAATGCTGAATTCATTATCAGTGAAACAAGAGTTTGTTTATGTGTTTTCATGTAATGGAATAAAGGATGTAATAAGGAATAGACCTAGTTCCCAGAACACCTGGGTGTTTTTGATGTCCAAAACTCAAGAGGAACATCACATTCCTCCACCCCCTTATTTTCCTTTGACTTGTCAAAGATGGAGGTTTTTGTGGTTTTCTTAGTTTATGTCTCCTCCCTAAAATAGTTTTGTTTTCATTTCCATCCAAACTCTATTTTATCCCTCCTACACTACCTGACATTTTATGTATGTACTTCGGATTTAAGGATGGCTAAGAGCAAAGACAAGCCATCTCTTATTTCCTGCATTCTGCAAGTAACCTTAAGAATGTTAACATTTTCTGACATGGATTAGTTTTCCTAATCTGTCTAATTAGAAAGACTTCACAATCAGAGTTTACTTCCATATTACTTCTGCAGATTTAGGGAGTGAAAATGGAATTGATATGGAAGTACTCTGTGAAAGAATGATCCAGTAATTATTCACTTTATATTCGCATTATCTCCACTAACTATAAATTATCTGGACAGTCAGTAGGCTCCTACAGTGAGTCCTGTCCAACCATCAATTCATTACTTAAGTTAGGGGTGTCACCTATCATGACTTTTTTTCCATTGCAGGCAATGGGGTGGGTGCGGTTTCACCATGACGCATCCGGCCTGCGGGCAGTTTGACACCCCTGACTTAGGTATTTTGGTAAACAGAGTTCATTGCTAACATTCAAATCTACCTGTTTTTATTACAACATTTTGTAATACCTACTGTATAGGTAAGAAGGAACAAAATAAATAAATAAATAAACAAGTCATTTCATTTAAAAATCTTTCTAAGCTATAGATTATGACTATAATTTTATTTCATACTACCATAACTGTAGCTTGAGGATTTGAGAATCAATTTCTGCAGTTTCTAACCATAAAACAAAAATATCCTGCAAATAATACAATATCATGACAATGTATTTATTACCCTTTGAAATTCACAGCATATACTGCTACTTCCCAGAAAACAGTACTGAAGAATTGCCAATAGGTGGTGATATAATATCATCCTCTTTACATCGCTGCAAAAAACAAACAATCAAAAAACCCTAAATAAACAACTGCTGTTACATATTAACTTTGCCCACGTTTAGAGAAAAGCAACAGGACTATTTTAGTTATATTCTGTAGATACTTTTATTTCCAGAGTAGTACGATAAATACTTTTGGGAAAAAAATGCTTACCAATTCCTCTACTTTATCTTTCATTTAGGAATCAGATGGGTTAGAACTGGGAAGACAAGGATACTTACATTTATTGCCATACAATTCTTTTTGAACAGTTATGGCTAAGCTGCATCTAAGAAGATCCCAGGAATTCAGGCAGTTGCACAATAAAAGAGCTCTTGAACTCTAGGGACAGTTTCAACTGTTTTCAAAGAAATTTTTTTCTGAGAATTTGAAAGAGCTGTTCCTGCTCCAGGCAAGAAATTATTCTCTTGCAGACAAATGTGTTCTAAACATGCTTGACAGAAACTTAGCTTCTCACTAAAATTGGGAAGAAAAGAGTATACTTTGAAATAGAAATAATATTAAATGATAGGTTTTTTTTTAAAGGCTACTTTAAGAACTTAAACAACTAAGTTTAATTTCACAGCTTCTATTGTATTAAACATCTGCTCATATGGCAATCTTCTTTTTCTCAACAACTATTTATTTAATCACTATCATCCATCCAAAGTAAACCACATAACTGCATTTAACCAGAAACAGACTATGTGAAACAAGGCAACAAAAATGGAATGGGAAAAGTGAAGACAAACTGGGTTAAAAGTCAATTGAAGCACTGGTAGGGGGAATATCAACGTCATCCATGAAAAAGAATTATTTGTACTACATCATGCATATGAGAGAGAGAGAGAGAGAGAGAGAGAGAGAGAGAGAGAGAGAGAGAGAGAGAGGGAGGGGGGGAGAGAAAGAGGGGGGGAGAGAGAGAGGGGGGGAGAGAGGGGGGGGGAGAGAGAGATCCCTAAATACGGAGTGTTATCCAATAATTCATCAGCAATTCTAGGTAATTTGTCCTGTTGCCACCAGGTCTCACAGGTTTTTTATCCATTATTCTGCATGTGGTCAGTTAAAAAATTCTCAAAAATACCCTGGACTATAGCTGACTTTACAGGCATCCCAGCTGGAGAGGTAGCATAAGAGTATATATACTTTAGAGGATTTCTTGCACATCTATCCTTTGGAAAGCAAATTTTGACTGAGTTAATTTCCTTTCCAGTCTAACATTTATCTTTAGATTCTAGTCACTATATATTATGATACCCTCCGGCCTAGTAAAATTTATACACACAATCATCTAATTTGAACCTACAATTAATGGTAAAAAAACATATAAAATCACATTTATAAAATAACACAATCTATTTGGAAGTCAGTCACCTTTATTATAACTGTGAGTCTTTTTTTTTTATTGAAAATTTTTCAAATTTTACAAGACAAATCCCCTCCCCAAACCCCCCCAGCCTCCCGTATCCTCCCCCAACTCCCCAAACCTCCCTAACCCTCCCCTGGACCTCCCAGAGTTGATTACGGGCTTATCCAAAATATTTCAAAAAAGAAAAAGAAAAAAAGAAAAAACTTAAAACACATATAAAACTTAAAACACATATAAATCCTAAACAAATCTTAATATTCTAAATTAAATAAATTATCTCTAAAAAGTAATAATCATTAAACACATTATAATATACTCTGAACATCTTCTAATCATGCTTATAATATTATCCACCATTCTATATAAATTCCTCCCAAAACACAATTTTAAGCACTACTTTCTTTGAACATCTATAACTATAATATAAAATCTAATATAAGTCATAAACAAATCTAAATACATTTAGTTAAACAAGTTATACTCCCTCCAAAACACAAATTTAAACATAAACACAAATTTAAACATTACTTAAAACTTTAAACATTAGAATCCCCTTATACACATTTAATCAAATTCCATCTTAAAAATAGTAATAATAATTAGAAAAAAAAAATAAATAAACCCAGACACTAAACACATTATAGTATACTCCAAACCTTCTAATATCATGCTAATATTATTATCATTTTTATAAACTCCCCCAAAACACAAATTTAAACATTACTTAAAACTTAAAAATCCCTTATACACATTTAAATCTTTATCAATAAGAAATTCCATCCACAATAAACACATTAAACATTTAAATCTTCACCAATAACAAATTCCATCCACAAAAAAAACACAATCCTTATCAGTCTCAATTGTCCATTTTCATTCTCCATCCTTATCATTCTCTAATTTTGAATATTCGTCTTTAACCTTATCAAACTCAAGAGAAGTGCTTTGAGATCTGGCTTTAAGGATTGCTCCAAAATTTCTGGATCTCCCAACAACTCAGAAGCCAATACATGTGGGGATTCCTTAAACTCCTTATTCT